AAAGATATACAAAAAAAAATCTTCAAATTGAGAACAGTTTTTATTTCTGAAGCATATTTTGCATGAATGTGACAATTTGTTGCTATTCTATGCCACACATTGTAAGTTTTAGAAATAAACAAATTATGCAAGAATGATGTTTTGATATCTTTTGTTTATTTTGCAAATCATTCTTCACCCAAACAATCATTTCTATTTGTCATGTTTCTTTACTTAAATGTATAGTGCATTGAGCTGGTCAGTTGATCATCTTTTAATGGTTAGAGTAATTTTGAAACTTAAAAAAGTAATTTTGAAACCTTAAAATACAACTACTTTTGATAATAAAGCTACAGAGGGTCTTACAACCTCAAACTCTGAGTATGGTCTTTCAGTGGCCAATTAGAATGATGTAAAAAATGATTTGTAAAAAAAAAACCAAAAAAACTTCCCCTCTATGATTTTTTAAGACTTCCTTAATCTTTCCATTATATTAATGCTGCTGGGTCAAAGTTTCTAAAATTGTTTTTTTTCTTTTGACAATGATGCTGCCATACTAGAAAAAAAGATGACAGTTTTAGGTCAGCAGATTACCCGTTATGTCTTTATAAGAGGGGTTTTTTATGTAAAATTGAGGAAGAAAATTGCACTAATGTTGGTCTTTGTTAAGATAATGTATTTTTATGTTAATGAACAGTTTGCTTTCTTTTTTGCCATGTCATTTCTAAATGAAGTGATAAAGTTTGATTAATCATAGTAGTAAAAAATTGTTAATTTGATTGTTGTTGCTGCCATGTCAGTATTATGGGGGATTTATCCCCCTAGTTTTCAATTCTCTTAAAAGAAATATAATTTTTAAGGCTAATTTTACGTGGAAATCTGTTAGATTTAACAGTATGGGCTATACAGACTGATCAGGTTCTCAATTTTTGAAAAAAGATTTATTATAAATCCCTCAAATTTACAGTCGGCCAGTCTAAATTCAAATAGGAGAAGTCTGTTACACAAAGTCAAAGTGGAAATGGTTGAGGATATAATGCATAATTGTTTCTTGTGGTAAATTGTTTATAAACAAAACCCTCTAAATCAAAATAAACTAGCTGAAAAAATGATGAATGTAGGAAACTTCAAGTGCATAGCAAGATAAGGCAAACAGGCAATTTATTGAGAAAAAGCAGACGTTACTTCAAAACAGAGTAATAATCCAGCAATTTTCAGCAGTTTTGTCTTGTTTTGACTTGAAAACAGACTGATATGCATAAGAAAGTTTACAGTGACATACATATGTTATAACTACAAAGCAGAGTGATTTTTATACAAAAGTTTACATTGACATACATATTTTTCTCCGTTTTTCAGACCTTTTATACCTCCCCGTCAGAGAATCCGGTTTGATGACATCACACGGCAACAGCAACAGTATATGGCCAAAATGAAATCAACGCCAGAAAAAAGTATCAACGGTACTCCGTCTGCTTCTCACAAACTTGGTCAAAGAAGGTAATTCATCATTCTTAGTAATGATTGGTATGACTGACTCAATTGATACTGTGGGTACGAATCTTGGCAGCCGGTCGCTAAATTTCCTACCATAAGACAGCTGTCAAGCTCACTGTTCAGAAGGGCGGTGATTCTACTTAATGATTATCAGAGATTCTAGCTTGCTCATGCATGCTTATAAATGCATCTCCTTCAGTGATCAAGCCTGAAACTTTTACTGTCTGGGGTCAATTTACCCTAAAACAAAAGAAAAACATAATTATTCTTTAGTGAACAAGTCTGAAACTTTTAATCAGGGTAAATAAACATGAATCTCATAGAAATATTTCCAGTTCCTACTTGTCAAAAAACCTAAGTGGACTCCCTTTAAGAGATGATAGTTTCGTAAATGACCTTTTCTCTAATTTTGACAGCATTTGTCACTGATCTATCTTCTCAACATTGTTAATACATGTATAGATAATATTTAAAACTTCTGTATGAATAAATTGAGTGATTCATTCTTAGCTAGCATTTCCATAGAATAATTATAACATTTGGTGTCTGAGATATATTTCAAAGGGGGCGTATAAATGCCATTTATATACACTGTGGTGAACATTTAAGTATATCTTTACTCTTTAGCATAAATATAAATGTTGTTGTTGAGCATTTATAGGATGGAGAAAAACAGAATCCCTAAAGAAAGCTCAACACGGCATAATTGAAAATGATGCAGTTGACTCTGTTCATAGACAGTACCGGAAAGTAGTTAGGATGCCCCTCAGGATTACAATGCTGAAACACTTGTAAATTGCTGAGTTTATATTATGAATACTTATAATATGGTTGATTAAATTTTATATTATACTTAATAGGCTATTTCAAATTAAGAAAAATCGATTTTGCATGAAGGTTTCAAAGGCCTGTAAATGTGTACAAATTTTTATGTCCACTCCCGGTATTGGGCTTCGTCCTGCTAACGTTGCCTTGTCTTGTTTATCTTTTTTCTTGTATTCTTGTTTTTCATGATTATTCTGAAACAGATAAAGAATCCTTAAAATTTTTGGGATGTAATTCATGGAAGGGCACATGAGGTTCCCGCATATCCTGTAGCAAAGCTTGAATGGTCCCATATGACCACAACAATATACATGTAACTAAAATCCCAACTTAAGGGGTCCATACTCTCAGTGCCTGAAAGGGCAGATGGACCTTTATAAGCATAGTATAAACAAAAATAACTGTATTAAGAATTATTGTATTCATTGGTGACTTTGGACAATTTATTTCAGATGAAAATAATATAACTTGTTAACAGTCAGGGATATTTGATTTCCCTGACAAGATAGAAGCTTTGGGTCGATCAATAAATCAATTTGTAAACCTCTTGACATGCTTTTCGCTTAGAGATACTTTTAATTGATGAAAGCTGTTTTGTTATTAATCTAATTGCAAGTTTAAGAGAAGTCGATTTTGTCAGGCTGTGATGCCATGTTATCTTTTATACAGGGCAAATTTGTGAAAAGTAAGCCGCAAAAAATACAAAAAAATAATCGCCAAAGAAGTTTTGCATTGTAGCAATGAATGATGAATTATTTTTACAAAGAATTTAAAGGGACTCCACTGAGGTTTTTTGATTTGACGGTACTTGAAATATTTTTTCAAGATAATAATATTCAGTTTCATGTAGATAGTGCAAATTTTTTTATATTATTCAAACCTTCTGAAAAATGAGCCAAAATTGAAAAGTGTTTTTCACTTAATCAAATAAATAAGAGCACAAAAATTGATTTTTATTTTACTTCTGAGAATATTTCTTAATTATCTTCTGCATTATCTTTCTGTTTAAGTACCCTAGCTGTTCTATGTGAAAAATTCAGATTTTATGTTTTTAGGCTTTTGGACGTCAGTGGAGTTCCTTTAAGGTAATAGGGGAATGATTATAACAGTATTGTTGACTGAAGGAGAAGCAAGATCTGATAATTATCCTCATGATTAATGGGAAATCATTTTGTGATTTTACAAGATCTTTGCTTCTTTCATGTTTGTTCACTTTTATCTTATTTGACAAGAAAAATTACCCTTGAAACTAAATACAAGATACTTTGGAACAGAAGGGTTTATGTCTTTTTGATGTGCATGTTTGAATGTTATAATAAGATGTGAATTGTCCATGTGAATAGCCTTTTCAACATCAAAAGGTTTATGTTATTTGGGTTAGAATTAGCTGATTGATTTCTCTGGAAGTTCAGTGTGGCATAAATCTTAAATCACCAATAATGTTTGAAGTTAATGCTATGAAAACAATTTATGATGATCCTTTTGTTGCTGGTATCCACTTTAAAGAAAGCAATAGTTTCTGTGAAAGAATTAAACTTATTTAAAGGTGTTATTTTTGTACAAAACAGATTTTCAATAAACTGTTTTATCATTCTGTGACATCATTGGCATTGGTGTAAGACTGAAATATTGTGACAATGGTGTAAGACTAAAATGCTGTGATAATAGTGTAAGACTAAAATGTTGTGGCATTATTGTAGATTAAAATAGTCTGACAGTGATGTGAGACTGAAGTACTGTGACAAAAGTATATGCCTGAAATACTGTGACAATGATGTAAGATTGGGAGAGTGTGACATTGATAAATGATTGATAATACCCTTACAAAAGTGTAAGACAGAAATAGTGTGATAGTGAAACATGGCTGAAATAGTGAGATTATGGTGTTAACAAAATAGTGTGACAAAAGTGTGTGACTGAAATACTGTCACAGCGATACATGACTAAAATAGTGTGACAAAAGTGTATGACTAAAATACTGTGACAAAGATGTCTGACTGAAATACCGTGACAATGATACATGCCTCATAGTGTGGTTGAACTAATGTGTGACATTGATGTTTAACTGAAATATTGTGACAATGGTTTATCAGGCTGAAATATTGACAATAGTTTATGACTGTTATACTGTGACAGCAGTTTAAGACTTTAACACTATGACAGTAGTATATCAGGCTGAAATACTGTGACAATAGTTTAAGACTTTAATACTGTGACAGTAGTATATCAGGCTGAAATACTGTGACAATAGTTTAAGACTTTAATACTGTGACAGTAGTGTATCAGGCTGAAATACTGTGACAATAGTTTATGACTGTAATACTGTGACAGTAGTGTATCAGGCTGAAATACTGTGACAATAGTTTATGACTGTAATACTGTGACAGTAGTGTATCAGGCTGAAATACTGTGACAATAGTGTATGACTGTAATACTGTGATAATAGTGTATGACTGTAATACGGTGACAATAGTGTATGACTATAATACTGTGACAATAGTGTATGACTGTAATATGGTGACAAGAGTGTATGACTGTAATACTGTGACAATAGTGTATGACTGTAATACTGTGACAATAGAGTATGACTGTAATACTGTGACAATAGTGTATGACTGTAATACTGTGACAATAGAGTATGACTGTAATACTGTGACAATAGAGTATGACTGTAATACTGTGACAATAGTGTAGGACTGTAATACTGTGACAATAGTGTATGACTGTAATACTGTGACAATAGAGTATGACTGTAATACTGTGACAATAGTGTATGACTGTAATACTTTGACAATAGTGTATGACTGTAATACTGTGACAATAGAGTATGACTGTAATACTGTGACAATAGTGTATGACTGTAATACAGTGACAATAATGTATGACTGTAATACTGTGACAATAGAGTATGACTGTAATACAGTGACAATAATGTATGACTGTAATACTGTGACAATAGAGTATGACTGTAATACTGTGACAATAGTGTATGACTGTAATACGGTGATAAGAGTGTATGACTGTAATACTGTGACAAGAGTGTATGACTGTAATACTGTGACAATAGTGTATGACTATAATACTGTGACAATAGAGTATGACTGTAATACTGTGACAATAGAGTATGACTGTAATACTGTGACAATAGTGTATGACTATAATACTGTGACAATAGAGTATGACTGTAATACTGTGACAATAGTGTATGACTGTAATACTGTGACAATAGAGTATGACTGTAATACTGTGACAATAGTGTATGACTGTAATACTGTGACAATAGAGTATGACTGTAATACTGTGACAATAGAGTATGACTGTAATACTGTGACAATAGTGTATGACTGTAATACGGTGACAATAGTGTATGACTGTAATATGGTGACAATAGTGTATGACTGTAATACAGTGACAATAATGTATGACTGTAATACTGTGACAACAGAGTATGACTGTAATACTGTGACAATAGTGTATGACTGTAATACGGTGACAACAGTGTATGACTGTAATACAGTGACAATAATGTATGACTGTAATACTGTGACAATAGAGTATGACTGTAATACTGTGACAATAGTGTATGACTGTAATACTGTGACAATAGAGTATGACTGTAATACTGTGACAATAGAGTATGACTGTAATACTGTGACAAGAGTGTATGACTGTAATACTGTGACAATAGTGTATGACTGTAATACTGTGACAATAGTGTATGACTGTAATACTGTGACAATAGTGTATGACTGTAATACTGTGACAAGAGTGTATGACTGTAATACTGTGACAATAGTGTATGACTGTAATACTGTGACAATAGTGTATGACTTTAATTCTGTGACAATAGTTATTGACTGTAATACTGTGATAATAGTTATTGACTGCAATACTGTGACAATGGTTAATGACTGTAATACTGTGACAGTAGTTAAATATTGTAATACTGTGACAATAGTTTAATATTGTAATACTGTGACAATAGTTTATGACTGTAATACTGTGACAATAGTGTATGACTGTAATACTATGACAATAGTGTATGACTGTAATACTGTGACAATAGTGTAAGACTGTAATACTGTGACAATAGAGTATGACTGTAATACTGTGACAATAGTGTATGACTGTAATACTGTGACAATAGTGTATGACTTTAATACTGTGACAATAGAGTATGACTGTAATACTGTGACAATAGTGTAAGACTGTAATACTGTGACAACAATGTATGACTGTAATACTGTGACAATAGAGTATGACTGTAATACTGTGACAACAGTGTATGACTGTAATACTGTGACAATAATGTATGACTGTAATACTGTGACAATAATGTATGACTGTAATACTGTGACAATAATGTATGACTGTAATACTGTGACAATAGTGTATGACTGTAATACTATGACAAAAGTTTAAGACTGTAATACTGTGACAATAGTGTATGACTGTAATACTGTGACAATAGTGTATGACTGTAATACTGTGACAATAGTGTATGACTGTAATACTGTGACAATAGTGTATGACTGTAATACTGTGACAAAAGTTTAAGACTTTAATACTGTGACAATAGTGTATCAGATTGAAATACTGTGACAATAGTTTATGACTGTAATACTGTAATATTGGTGTGACAGTGATGTGTGAGAGGAATAATATAATGTATGGCATAATTTATTGTTACAATGATGTTGATATTGACAGAAAAGGAAAGTTCCTGGATCTCTGATTTTAAAACATTAAAAATGAGTTTGACATAATGAAAATTATGAGCATGCCTTTAGAATGACCTTTATTTGTATCAAATGTGTCTGATTTATTTTGCAGAGCTTTGCAGATTGTAAGGGAGAACAACAGTTTTGGATTTGTAATAAAGGGAAGTAACCCAGCATACATAGAGACGGTTGATCCTAATGGAGCAGCAGAGAAAGGAGGTCTTCAACCAGGTGACTTTGTCATCAAACTGAATGGAATAGATGTGAGGTATATATATTGTTGTAATTGTTAAAGATTCATTGAATAGTAGCTATAAACGTTTCTTTGATTTACATAAAAAAATTTGGTCTTTGGATTTACATAACTTGCCTAATGAATGTAATTGTTAAATCCTATGTGGCAGAGCATTGAAGGTTGCAGGCCACAAATCCCTTGCCTCTCACTGCTATTGGTTCAAATCCCATCAGAATCTTTGGATTATTTAAGTGAGGAAACTATCCTGCTGTCTCGCTGAAGGTCAGTGTCTGCTCTGTAAGTCCTATACCCCTAGTTAGAATTTTTTGGAATATGGTTCATATTTGCATCTTTACAATGCAATTTGCAGAACTGACACATCCACTGTGTTGGCTCAAGGTTATATGTCATCATTGAAGGTGAAATGTCAGAATTTTCAAGATACTTTTCGAACACCTACAATAAATAGAGATGATAATTGTTACAAGCAATAATTCATTTAAAAGTTCAGTCAAATGGGATTATAAGGTTTTGAATTGTTTCTTTTCCTTTTCAGAAAGTGTAGTCATGCACACCTGGTGCAGTTATTACAGGATAGTGGTACAGCTCCAATTTTAGAGGTTTTACGGTGTGACCAAGAGGAATGTAAGAATATTTAAAAAATTTGTGTAATTTAATGCACTTATATAATTATTAAGAACAATTATATTTTTTGCATATCTAGAGTCAGGGGTTTAATTAACAATAAAGATAGTTTTGTTACTATTTGAGAATATTCTGAAGAGATAAATATCTTAGAAAAAAAGAAAAATTCCATCCAAATAAGCCATTTATAAAAGAACAGAAATCTCTGAAGAAAAAAAAGCTGTAAAAAACAAGAGACATTCCTGAAAAAGGCAGATATTTTCCTGGGATTAAAATTGTTCAGTGTAATATTAAATTGGCTAAAAATAATTTTCATTTAGCGAAACAAGAATTGCTATTTAGTTCCATCATATCATGAATAATGTAATGTGATGTTGTTACATTCGACTGACTTTGTTGCTTTCAAATTACATTTGCCTGGAATTGGATGAACAACATTCATTTCCTGTCTCTAGACATGTTATTGTAATGCAATATGTGAACTTATATAGTGAGTGCAAGCAATTAAGTCTAGGATCTAGATATCTCTATCACAGTGATACCGATAGGTTGTTTTTGTATTTTCTGATCGCAAGATCAGTAAATACATAGCTAACATCCACGGTCTAACACAAATTTTCCTAACAGACCTAACAACGCAAAGTAGTTCTCACTCAGAACTGCTTAAAAACCAGCAATTTTAAAAGAATAATTTTTAATGTATGCATTTAACGAATTACAGTGCATTAAAAGTTTAGAGTAGTCAATAGAAATATGAGGTTACAATCACACATTTTGCGGATGAATATCTTTTTTACCCAATGAAAAATGTTTGGCTATTTCCGTAAAGCTTAATCAATGAAAATGCTATTTTTAGCTATGTCGATTACCGAATACTCCAGAGCGTAGTACATGTACACATAAATCTGACTGTCGAGTAGTGGCATATATACATGTCGTACTGTTTTGGCGAGAAGATTTTCGCTAAATTATTTTCATCCGTGTTAAACAACAGGTTTATAGTGAAGAAAATACCTCGAAATTAGTAAGGATTACAAACACGGAATGGAAATTCTCAATTTAGAATTACAATGTATTTGTTATTATTCAAGCTACATATGTATTACTTCACCGTGGTGCAGAGGTAGCGCGCTCGTTTAGGGTGTGACAGGCCCAAGGTTCAAACCCTAGTCGAGGGCAACTTTTTTTTTTGAAGTGCCTTTTTTAAGGAAGTAGCCGATAAAGTATGGTTGCATAAAAAATGAAAATGATTTTTTGATGCAACTCTAGTCATGCAAAATTCCATATGTATCAATCTCAAACTGTTACAGACGCAGTCGCTGCGTAAGATTAATTATAGTATATAAAATAAACTTATATAGGAAAATACATACAGATAGTCAGTATGATTTAGATTGCAAAGATCAGAAAATACCACAGAGGTTGCAGCCCTTTGATTTTTATGAGTTTTAGAGTTTGTTGTTTGATTTTGAGATGACAATGACCTTTGGTGAAGGTTATTCACCAGTCAGTTGTAACCCAATCCTACCAAATGAAGCCATTTTTTGGCCCATTATCGTAGAATTTTCGGTATCGATCCATAGTATGTACTTTAGTCATCAGATTTGTAGAAAATACAGACAAATGGTAGAAGTAAACAGATTGAAATCTAGCCCAACCTTGATAATACTAAAAAACATCATGGTCCCAGATGATTACTCATTCTTTAGTGTAGCAATGGATTGTAATAATCTCGGTAATATCATAAAATACAATTAAAATTGAGGCTAATAGATCACTATCTATGGCATTGTCTGCCCCCATGAAGAAATAAAGAAATAAGAATAGGGGGGGGGGGGCATCTAACTGTAAACTAAACAAAAGAGAACAATGAGGTTTAATATTCTGTTACAATAAAGTAAGGGGCCTAGCCTCTATCAAACAAAAGAAAATAACGAAAGAAATGGCCCCTTATTTAAATTCAGCTAGATGTCCATCTGTATGTCTGAAGACAATATTGGTTTCTGCAGGATAACTTTTGAATGATTGTGTTTATGCCTGGCGTGTATGTATGTTATACCAAAAGACAGGTTAAGTTCAATTTTGGATGCAATCAACTTCAATTAACTAATATCTAAATCTGTTTTTCAGATCCATACAGCTCTGGGGCCCAAGGTTCAAATTCTTCCGCATCATCAACTTCGAGCCATGCCGAGTCAGACTGGACAACACAAGATAATAAACTTATAGTTGACAAGGAAGGGAGGACGTACCTTGAAAGAGTAAGGTCCCAAAATAACTTATCGTGGATGGCAATTTTAAAATCTTAACTTACAACAGATTTTTGGGTTTCTGATAAAATGTAAAAAAATTTTAAACATATCTTTTCAAATTTTGCATTCTAAGGTCTGTGTGAAAGCCTACTTAAAGTTCACAAATTTGCCCCAATCAAACTGATTATCATTAAAAGATTAAGTGCTACAGTGCCTACCAGTCCAAGTGGTTTAGGTTGTTGACTTCAAATCACTTGTCTCTCACCTCTGTGGGTTCAAATCCTGTCAGAAACATCGGATTTAAACTTACGGAAGGTCAGTGGTCCTAAAGGTGTCTGCCTGAAATCAGGATTACCTAAGGTCCTCATCCACCATCATGAAGCTGGTACATATATTCACATTTTCTCTGTCTGTGTGACATTAAATTCATCAAAAGTAAAACAAAAATGATAGCTTGGACAATTTTAAGCATGTCACAGAAGCACTGAAAATCTTTATAATGTTCCTTAATTCACAGGTGGTAGGGGGGACATAAGATATTTTTAGTTTTCTGTATTTAATTGTCACAAAAAAGTCTTTCCACCTAAATAACAGCCTTCAGACTTCACAGATTTTATATTATTACCCTTCCAGATTTTTTCCGCCTTTTTGATTGGATATTGATCACCCGAAAGAAATTGATATAACCGAGCCAGACGGGTAATATACACACTAAATTTCCCCGTTGGGTACCCAACGTTGTAAACGACATGCGCTGAGGTGATGCGCGTACGGTTCGATTTTACGCGGTGTAAATTCCGATTTACAAGCACTTTTTAACTGTCAAATGATAAATATTTACCAAAGTAGAGTAATGATACAAATTCCCATCAGTATTGAAAACAAATATGACCTTGTGAAAGCTTGATATTAATTACAAAAAAGTGCTTTCAATAGACTACTCCTTTTCTCTTGTTTACATTCGTTAGGTACGGGAAAATACGTCATGTATTTATGTGACGTCATGTTGTGATGAAGAGGTACCCTAAAGGGAATCTTATTTCGACGTTTCATTTGAAACAGCAATGATTTTTTTAAAAAATCGTCTAAACTCGGCAGGGGAAGGGTAATAAAATTATTATTTTGGTTTTGGAGTGATATATGTGGATATATTACCTGCCAAGATAAAATATCACCCTCGCCTAACGGCTCGGGTGATATAAAATCTTAGCAGGTAATATATCCACATATATCACTCCAAAACCAAAATAACATATAATATTTACCTACCAACACACTTAGAGATCACAAGGTCGAAGGTCAAGGTAGTGCTTGTTTTATATTGATCTTTATATGTTTCTTCAAATGTGTTGAGTAGGGCATTTTAGGATTTGAAAACCATTCCAATTTATTTCAGATCTAACAATCAAATGCTGCAAGATTTTAGAACCTTTCTTATTTTTTAGATTTAAAAAAAAGAAGCTGATAGTGTAACAAAATCTTGTAGATCTATTTAAGCCCTGCATTATCAGAGTTTAACAGGACTTAACAAATTTTTTATAGTGCTATATGTTTATGAGCACAAAAATGTCATCAAAAATCAACAAGCAAGACTAATGAGTAATTTTTTGCAGGCAGAATTTTTGCTAACCACTAAGGAAAGGTCAAAGGTCAAGAAAGCATGGATAGAGTATGAAAGCACTAGGTAAGAAAAAAAAATCTTATAATATATCTAGTAATCTTTTATAATACGCCAAGTTTATAAAGTGCTATTTTCAAGCATATGTACCCTGTTAATTCTGTACAAATTAAAGAAATTTTTATATGGATTTGCCCAGCTTTGAATTTGAAACAGTTCATTCACCATGAGTTTAAGGGATTTCAATATTAAAGTACAAATTTTTAGCTACCAACAGTATAGAGCTTGGTCAGACTGCTTGGATGTGCAGGCATCAGTCTGTACAGTCAGACCTGGGGTTTTAGCGGTGACAAAGACTAATCACTTTCAGTTCCAGCAGGTTAAGGGTTAAATAAATCTCTTTTTCATTTCAGTAACATAGTGGAGTTGTTTGAATCTGTTTCTGCTGTCCTGGACACGCCCTCCAAGAAGACATTATGGATGTTTATCTTGGCAAGACTTTCACCACCTCATCAACAGTATTGTATTAACCAAATTTCCCTGCCTAGAGACATTCTGTTAGGTAAGGTCCAAATTATCCTTTCTTAAAGTTATTTTGGGCTTTACAAATTCTTTTATTCCTCAGTGACATTTTGATAGTCTTATATTGGGGTGTCCATGGCTGAATTGTTAAGGTTGTTGATTTAGAACTACATGTACTTGTCCCTCACTGCAGTGGGTTTGAATCCCACCAGAGACTTTGGATTCTTTCATATGAAAAATTTATTGCATTAGCTTACAGAATGTCAGTGTTTCTACTTGTATGCTCACTCATTCCTGAAATAAAGCACAGAGGGGCAACTGAGGGGCACCAGTTTAGCTGAAAAGTGGCCATATGAGACAAACAAATGGATTGATAATGTATAATTCTTTGAGATGATAGGTTCAGTCTTACATTTGGCTAGCTATATAAATAATACATAAGGAATAATAGGCTTCCTTGACAGAGTAGTTCGGTTCATTGGAATGCCATTCACTGCTGTTGGTTTAACTCCCACAATGGAGGCTGATTTTTTTGTGTGAGGAAGCTAACCAGTGCCAGCTAACTTAAGGTTTGAGGATCTATTCAAGTGTCTGCTTTAGTCTGAAAAAAATCTGAGGTCTCTTCCTTATCATTAATAGTGATCAGTTACCACAGAGTTATATATTTAAACCAACCAAGACAGAAAATAGAAAAATACCTTTGTTGAAAGCAATTTAAAATAAGTGTCTACATAATTATTATTTTCCATATAGGTGTTTATTAAAAAATCACTCATACATATGCTTGAACAGATCAAAAAAGGTTAAATTGAGATATAGTAGTAATGTTTTTTGTACAAGCAAATTTACAGCAATAAAATGATAGTTTAAGAATACCTGTTGCAATAGTAGATTATTATATCAGTAATAACCACTGTTTAAGTTAGAAGCTGCTGTTTATAAAACATGTACATCTGTTTGATATTTTTAGACAAAAGTCTCTTTTGTTTTTTTTATTTTCAGAATGCATAGAAAAAATAGAACATGGCAGAAATCACCAAAACTGGTCAGGAGATGGTAACATATGTTTTATTTTATTATTCTATTGTATAAAGTCAAAGATATAGAACATTTATCATACTTTCCTTTTGAGTTTCTCAAAAAAGCTTTGAATCATCAAACATGTTCATTCATGAAGCTCAATAGGGACTATAAGGGAGAGCCTCAGACTCATAATTCAGGGATGACGGTGAAGTGACAATTGTTCTTGGACATTGGTTTTAATTGTTATTTGTCTCTCACTACTAATATAGAAATCATGTGGGATTAGAAGTCCATGGATCGCTGGTTCTACTATTGGGCGAAGTGAAACATCCTTGTGACAACTGATATCAGACATTGAGCCTAATGGTCATTTGTCTCTCACATCTGATTCAGAAATCATGTGATATTAATAGTCAGGTCACTTTTGGAAAAATTGGTAATTACTGGTTAGTTAAGCAAGGAACGTTGGTTCAGTGGACTATGTACATTTTCTAGGGGTGACCATTAATCATGTATTATTATCAGTGTGTATAGTACTGGCTGCTGACAAGTATAAACAGGGCACATAATTATAATAATATTTTTTCTGTCAGACTTGAAGCCCACTATAACAGCCTGGTCTCTTTAGAAATTGATAACCATTTATACTCTTTAGAATGTTTTTATATTGCATGCATGAAAACCAATAGCCTATGGTTTAGACCTGTAATATCTGGCTTACAAAAGAGAGAGTAAGACCAGTTTTCTGATATTTCTTGATAGAGTTGGGAAAATTCAAAAAGAAAAGATAATTGTTGTTTTTAACAAATTTTACATTAAGGTAGTTCTTTCACAGGTTTTTCTTTATATTTTTTTGTTGCTATGGTTTCAGGTGATACAACCAGTACATCTGCGTGGGGCTCCCGCAAGTCCAGCATCAAAATATCATCATTTCAACAGCAGGTAGAGTATCTCCTCACATCGCGAGAGAGGTCCATGCTGAAAAAAGCCCTTCAACTCTACTCTGAAAACAGGTATATATTCACTTTATCGCCGATTTTATGACTCTGTAAAAGTGGTATTGCACAGCTGTGCATATATTTCGCAGTGACGTCATTAACATTGTAAAACATATTTAGTGTAAAAACATGCTAAATGTTACGGTTATAAAATGAAAGACTGTCTTTTGCACTTTAAACAGTCTTTAATTTGTTTATGTGATAAATATAATATTAAATTCCTATAGGTTCATTACTGAATTTATTGAACTGGTTGATTTGTTCAATGAATTCAGTATTGAACCTACACTCATTTAATATCCTCTATTTATTCACTCCTAATGGTATTTGTACAGTCATTTAAAATGAAGTGACTGACAGAGACTTTGGATTCTTTCTAAGAGAAGATTATCAAGCTAGCTTACAGAAAGCCAACTTGACCTTGTATGTGAAATAATACTCGAAGGGTCACCTGAGATTGTGGTCCTCCACCTGCGATCCCTAAAAGTCATCATTTGACCTCTTCAGTTGTGGCATGACCTAAATTCCAAACATTAAATGCTTTGAATATACATAAACCTTGTTAACTTAATTCCAAACCAACCAGTACATGTGTACTTTTTTTTTTATTCTAAGAAGCATAGAAGATAGAGACCTTTAAAATGTTTTTGAAATATATTTTAAGATTTAACAGTCTCTTAGCCAAAGATTTAGCCTGTGTCCTCCAACTTTCAAAGGAGACTTTTTTCTCACTTAAATTTCAAAGCAGTGGCTTATATCTAAAAATGAATTTGATAGTGGAAGAAAGCAAGGTCTTTTGCCAGTATTAACAGTTTAATTCTCAATGTGGCTGTGACCTTGACCTTTGACCTAATTTAATTTAATTTTCAATGTATGTTGTGACCTAGACTTTTAATATGAAAATATATCTAATAGAAAAGACATGTATAACTTGCTGTTCCATTTAATTTTCTGAATACTTTTGGTGATAATAACCCCTTTAGAAATGACATGATGATAATGATAATATTGAACCCCCTTACAAATGGCAATGGACTGTTCCATACAAAAAAATGAACAAGTCCATGAAATATATTCTGCAATATGAGGCTAAGAGGAAAGAGGAATATTTCTATTTCAGAAATGTTGATAACTTGATTGAGGATCTGGATGTCATTCTAGACACGCCCTCTAAGAGGACATTATGGATGTACATCATACCTCTGTTAACACAGATGCATCAAGATGTTGTTCGACAGAGAGTAGGAACAAAACAGGTGTCCAGTCTACAAACTACGTCAGGTAAAAATGGTCATAATTTAGGAAACTCAGTAACCATTGATCTAGGACATTTAGAGTAATGGTCGTTTGTCTCTCCTTGCTGATTGAGAAATAACATGTGGGGTTCGAAGTCTGTTATTTGTGGATTGATAATTACTAGTTTGTTATCAAGGAAAGCCGGTTTAGTGGATCATCACTTAACTACTAGGCCTTTGCTCTCTTTAACCCTTTTCCTGCTACATATCTTAAATGCCCTTGTCCATCTTTCAATCTGGACAACTTTTCATTACTTGAAGGGAAAATTTCAAAATGTTAATTGACTGAATAGCTAAAATTGAGGACCATGATGAGATGAAATGTGCTTGCTGATCTTGGTCTGCACTGGTCGCATAGGCTTAATCAGCAACATTTCTGTAAGGGAGACATGCAAAGATAGTAAATAATAATATGGTCCAATGTTACTTTAAAAGCTGTCTTAAGGTATAATTTTAGAGATTTTTATTTCAATTTTAATAGTTGATTCTCAATGATAAGGCAATTTTTTAGCTTTTTGGGGTATGGTGGGTGTTTTGATATTATTATTTCTTTTCTTATTTTCCTCTTTTGTGTGTTAAACTTTTTTGTAATACAAATCTTAATATAATACTCTAATGTTTATTTTGTTTTAATGAAATCATATGTAAAATACCTTGCTATAGGTATGTCCTTATGTGATTTTTAACATTCACTTTCATTATGATATTGTTTTCAGAGTCTGAATCTACTTTACCAAAGAAATCCACATCCAAAAAGGTACATGTAAGTTTATTCATTATCTTCCTGACTTTATTAAGGACTGCAGTACAGGACTGCAGATTGCAATGCATATTTCTGATTTAGTTCTGTCTTTTGTTGTAATATTGTTATTAAGACCTAACTGTAAGTCTTTCCAAAATGTGGGGAAAAACACCGTTAGAAATAAAGTCTTTAAAATAATTTATCTCATTACTAATAATTATGACAATGTCTGAAATTAATATGAGATTTGTCGGCTGAGTATAATAATGTCTAAGCTCTGGCAATCATGCCGAAATGTCCCGAATGTCTGGGATTGTCCCAGAATTCTAGTTATTTCCACAGAGGTATCCCAAACGTAAACATTTCCTGTAAAATATTATTAAAGTTCTTACCAAACATTACCTACAACCTTATAAAATGAATAACCAATGCCTTCCAAAAGAAACTTTGTAATTTCTTTGAAATTGCACTTTCGATGAAGTAGATATTCTTTTATTAAATTTTATACTCTTAAAGGTTGTTTTCATTTTCAGACAAAGTCTTTGTATGAATTTCCAGACATGCTAAGTCTCGTGATCTCAGCTGGGCCCATTCAGAAGTTAACAAGAGATAAAATAGAGTAATACAATGCTAATATTATGGAAGCTTTGGTTATCTCTGAGTTCACTTATGAGAATGAGTCATAGCTCAATATCAGACTGTGTCAGCTCAATATTACAAAAGCTTAGATGTCATTGTAAATATAAATACAAATGGTAAATATTGTCTCAAGCTTTATAATATATATTCCAGCCGTATATGTCATCTGATGAGGAGCATGATTTTATCTCTAGATCTGGGGACAGAAAATCGAAATCCAAACCTACTGGTATGTATTTCAAAGCTCCTAGCTTTTGAAAAGTCCTATCTTGATAGAAAGAACTATATGATAAAGGTACTGAAAGTTAGCCTCTTTAACAGTTAAGGGTTTAGACAGCAGACTTAGGGGTTATTGTCCTCTATTATGGCAAAGCCCTGTTAGTATGTATGCTATTACTTGGCAGATTTTTGTGGATTTATTTTGATTGTGTCAGTATAAACTTGCAGGTATATGTTTCAACTATTACTAATTCTGTAGATGCATTTAGACTACATCGAATCTGCAAACAACTGTAGTTCTTGAGTGAACCGAATCTAAAAGGGTTTCATCTAAACCTTACCAGAACAATCCAATACCTATGATATTTTATCAATGTCCTGTGATTCATTTATTAATTAATTAGGGGTTATGAAAATGTAAAAATGTTTGTCTGACAATTTTCTGTCACTTGTTCACTTGTGAGCTTATTCAAATCTGTATATATCATTACTAATACAGCTCCCCTTGGTGGATTAGACCTGTCAATCATTAAAGAACTAGAGGAGACACGAAGAGCTGTACAGGAAGTTAAAGAATTTTTGACTAAAGGACAAAGTCCAGGTACAGTATAAAAAACTTACTTAAAATAATACAAAACCTCTATATCACCATGACATATAACACTTTCATCTCCCTTATGTAATTATAGTACATTGTACTGCTTGACTAAAAGCCAATTGGATGATTGAATTTAATTACCCTCATTCAAAGTTAAATAACTATTATACTAGTCAAAGGTCAAACTGATTTAGAAAATATGTGTAAATAATGTATATCAACATTTTTTTTTCCATTATTACGAATTTACCAGAAAGTGTACACATTTTCAATGTAACTTAATGATACGATATAACATTTCTATGAATTTGCTGTTAATAGGTACTGCGAATTCACTTATATTCGTGGGCATGAAAGTTCGTGGTTTTATCAAAACGGGCATTTTCGTGGTTCTTAAATTCGTGGATTTTCGTTTTCTTGTAAAAAAAAAAATTCAGTAACCTAATGCAAAGTAATTTTAATCGCCGAACATTGTTACTTACAACATGTACATATCTTTACTTGTCACACAGCGGTTGTCAATAAATTTAATCCTTGCCTCTGGGTATAACTCTAATACAGCACAGTTACTGCCGATAATTGACTGCAATTAACACATTTATGTGACATGATATGCACCTCCATTGGACACACTGCCCCTGTAATTCGCCGATGTAAACATCGCATAATTTATAATAATAGCAATAGCACAAAAACTGATTAAAAATTATATAAACTGGAGCATTCAAAATCAACGAAAGAAAGTACAATAAATCTGTTTTAGCGATCGTATTTTTTATAATTTTGTGTACTTACGACATTAATATCAAAGACATTTTTTTAAAATTAATAAGAGCAAACTGAGAATTTTTATTAGCGCTAATTATTGCACTGCCTGGGTTCCCATATTAACTCGATTATGTCAAGTATTCTTGTTAACACAATTAAGTCCTAGTAGACTACAACGATCAAGTATGTATATGCGACATTTGTGACAGTAAATTGAGGACATATAATCGAGTTTTCTTTCAAGTTTCTTAAATATTGCAAACGGATTTAATATGTCACTAACCTGGTTATCTGTCTGTACTTACATTCATTTCACGAAATATCGGCCGGAAAAGAGCCGACGCATGTTTGTAATATATAGAACAGAGACAGGGTAAGAAGTATTTGTCGGGATAAAAGTTCGTCGGATCTTAAATTCGTGGATTGACCTACCCACGAAAACCACAAAAATTCGTGCCCCACGAATAATAATGATTTTACAGGATATAGAAGTTGACTTTAAAACTTAATACTGTGTTATCTTAATATTCAAATTTCTTACAGAATTTGATCGTGAGAATTTCAAGTATGTTACAGTTATTCCAATTGAACGACAGCTCCAAGAGTCGTCCTTACATTCACCAATTAGTATACAGCTTCCCGGCCAAACAATTCCAATGACCTTGAACTCTCAAAATATTCCAGGGGTTTTAAATCCCAGTCAAAGACTATATTCAGCACAGGAAGTTCAAAACTTAGAGGGTAGACTCTTTTCACCTGTGTCAAATAGTGGCGTAAGACCACATTTAAGTGATTCTGGACCAAGAGTTAGATTTCCCGCTAATTTCATGGGGTTTGAAAACACTGCTGAAAGTGATGATTCACCGCGGAGTCCACCAAGTTTTGTTATAGACCATGTGGACGAGAACAGTAGATTAAAAATTCCGCCAAATTTTATGACAAGTGGGACAGAAAGTGACAATGAGATTGAGTTAGAGAGGCGGGCCCAATCTCAGCTGCTAGTATCTAAATTTGCTAAAATGGGAGGTATGTATCACTAGGGCTGTCATTGACAGAAAATATTGTATCGATATATTGAAGAGTAAATATTAACAATATATTGAGTTAAAATACATTTATATATTAAGCTATTATACAGTTAAGTTATTAAACAGGGTCTTTCAAATTTCTATTTGAAAGACCCTGGCTATAATAGATGATAAACTCTGTCATCAAAATGTTGGATATGCTTGGTTTAGATATATAAAAATGCAACTGACCAGAAGAAACAGTAACTTCTGAATATTATAAATATTAAGAAAATGAAATTGCTGTTATAATTAGTTAATGGAACGTTGGTGGCTGTACTCGGGTGCCAGTTTGTGCCTGAAATAAAGCATGAAGGGGAACCTGAGGTCTTCCTCCACTAGAAAAGCTGGAATGTAGCCATATGACCATTATTGTGTTGGTGCCAAAGATATAAAGAAATAATTTATATTTAAACAAGCTTTGAGAATACAAGATCCATAGATAATGGAGAATTGTATAGGTCACATTTTTACTCAATAAATATAAACATCTCTTCCTCAAAAAACTTCCAAAATTTCTGAATTAATCTGCTCTGAAAGTTTGTTAAAACACAAGTTTTGGATGAAAAACTAGGCAGTGACAATTTCTGCAGTATATAATGTAATACATTCATGTACATGTATTTATTTGTATTTGGTATGTACATTTAAATTTGTTTGCAAGATTTTGATAACATACAGTTGTTTCTGAGATTTTCTTGAATTCATTTATTTATTTGCAAGAAATGTGAAAAACATTTGAAATTCAGGTGAAGATTCATGAAATTCAGTTTTAATTGTCTATGGTTTTGTTTTATGAAGCTCATACTATGACCTTGTTCCTCATGTGTTACACATATAATTTCAGGGGACACATTTAACAGACATGCATTGACAGCCTTAAAACAATTGGACGCAGCAGTCGCAGCGGAAGTGTCTGACCTTGAGAACAGTGGCGATGCTAAGAGAAAATCAGCAGACGTCAAAGTGGCGCCATCTATAAATGGGGAGACAACTTCGTCTGTACCTGCTCCACCTCCACCTCCCCCACCACCAGGTTTGTTGCATATAATTAATGAAATTGATAGTTACCATTTCTTTTATTCAATCATAATTCCAACAAATTTGTGTAATGAACTGCTTTGTACTTGGAACTGTCCTTTTTCAATTTTATAGATGGTGATATGAAAGTATTAAAATATGAATTAAGGTAAGACTACATGTATAGAGAAATGCAGCCTGGTCTGGTATTTGATAGAGATAGGACAATGTCTGCCATTATTAACATCAGATGCCTTCACCCAAGTCATAGATTGAAAGAGTTTACTCTGTGTGTAATATGCATATTTGAAATGAAAGTATGTTATAGGACGGTGACCTAAATTTTTTTTCATTATGATTCTCTGTAATGGAGCAATGTTTAAAAAGAATCTGCAAGCTAGTGTATTTTTTTCATCTTTAACTTCATATTTCATCCTAAGTTTTGTAGAAACAATTTACTACTCCTGTCTCCTTATTAGACTATCAACATATTGGTTTAAACATATTTATTTAAGCTCGATTGCGAAACAAGTTCTTGCAACTCATATAAATCACTTTCTAGTCTGCTTCCAGGAACCAACCAGTACTGGTGTCATATGAAGAAACATGGTCATAACCCGAGTAGGGCTCAAACCCATGATCTCTGGGTTGAGAGGCAGACACCTTAACCACTTGGCCACCTTATCACCCTTATCAACATATTAATTTGGTTTGATATGTTTACAGTTGCTCCTCCTCCTCCAGCACCTCAGCTGCCAGGAACCAGCTCACCAGATAAATCACAGATGAATGTGAAGAGAATTAACTGGGAAAAACTTGACCAACAAAGAGTGGAAAACACTGTTTGGGAACAGGTACTGTTAACCTTTTACCCCATGAGCATATTGTGAAAAATGGCCGTTTCCATTGAAAAGCCTCCTGTTACAAGTTCAAACTGCTATGAAATTATGAAAAATGCTTCAACACTGATGAAACTTGCCACAAGTGTTGACTTAGACCATAGCCTCTGTAACAATATGCTCAATTGTAAATTTCCTGTTACCATGGCAATGGGGGACGTCTCAAAATTGCCAAAAATCCCTATTTTGCATTGCTTCTTTCCATCAAAACTGATTTCAAAGTGCTGCAACTTCTGAATGAAAAGGCTTTTCAGCATTGGTTACAAGATCGACCTGAGGCCATTTTTAGCCTGTCACATGTCCAAAATTTTCTTGGAGATGAGGGGGACTACCGCCCCCCTTCAAACCCCTCAAACAGAAGGGGGCACATCCCCCTTCTGGCGACCCTCTGATGCCCGGGCAGCGCCGAAAATGTGGTCACTTTTTTAACACCATTTCTCAAACGAAAAACAGTGTTGTGGGTCTAAAAATAGGGCATTTTTTTTACTGTTTGAGGCCTCAGAAAAGGGGGGGGGGGGGGGAAAGCAGTCAAAACACGTCAATATGAGGGAAAAGGTTAATATAGCTTGATGATTAAAATTGTATTTTTTAATTGCACACTGTTTTGAAAAACAGCTACTGTGAATATAAATTGATAATTAAAATTGCTATTTAAAATTGCATTGTAAATTAAGCACTGTTTTGGAACAGCTAGTGAAAAGATATGATTGTCATTGTATTCAATCAGGTACTGAATGTAGCTACGTACATGTATAGGTCTGTTGGAAATATGAAATATGAGAAAAGCATGATTTTTTTTAAATACTATCATGGAACTGCAAGGTAACCAAACAGGTAGTGTAAACAGGATTATACATGTAGCTGAATAAAGCATTCAATTTGGAACTGGTACTGAAAAAAAAAATTCAATGTGTACTTATAGAATAACAATATGTGAACAAATATTTTTTGTGTAATAACTTGGCTTGGCTGTTTAGAAATTGGATCTTTCCAGAATTCAAATATCCAAAATTATCTAAAATTAATCTCAAACACCAGTTGGGTCGGAATATTATACAAGATTCATTTTGTTTTTTGAGACATAATATTTGTTAAAGAAATATCAGTTAATATTTTATAAAGAAATATCAGTGACTTATAATACAGAGGGATAAGAAGCTCAAAAAATAGAACATTTTCCCATCCAGGCTCACAATCCCTTGCACGAGATTCATAGGCCCTTGAAGTTGATCGATTTCATCCATATTGTTTTACGTGACCGAACGTTTGAGTTGATTATTGATCTCTTATTGTTATTCATTTAATTTTATATATATTTACATATTATAGTCATATTTATTCACAAATTTGAAAATTCAAGCTTGCGGGATAATTAATCGCTGATACAGATTTTAAGTGTATGACGTCAAAGCTGACTCTCTGTGGAAATATGAAGCAGATTAATGAAGCATTTAAGAAAATTAAAAATTTGAACATGTTCTTGTAATTATTTACTGAGTTGTACTTGTTAATTTACTTTCAACGAATAATTTGAGTACAATTTATGATAAAGTATTAATTGTGATATAATATACCTGTGATGTTACAGATTGGAGAAGCTACTGATTTACAAGATGTTGTCCGGTATCTAGAACTCGAGCAATACTTCTCCACAAAATCTCCAAGACACAGTAAGTTGATATTTCTAGTACCTACATCGTAATTTGATATTGCACCGAAATAGTAATTTTTTATCTCCCAGACTTAGAAAAATTTGATACATGTATTTCTTCAATTAAGTAATTTGATGTCTCACTGACATAAAAAGGTGATATCAATTTTGTCAAGCATCAAGGGATTTTGAAACAATTTGGCACAATTGTGTAGCTTCAAATGAGATTGTGTGTCATATGCAAGACCTAGGCTCCGAGGTCAAGGTCACACTTAGAGGTCAAAGGTTACCTTGTCCAGCATATAACTGTTATGCATCAAAAGATTCTGAAATAACTTGGCACAAATATGAAGCTTGATGAGTTGGTGTGTCATGCACAAGACCTAGATCCCTATTTTCAAGGTAAAGGTCACACTTAGAGTCAAAGGTCTGTCATAAGGAAATCTTGTTGGGCCCATAACTCTGTCATGTATGAAGGAATTTTAAAATAACTATGCACAAATGTGTAGCATGATGAGATCGGGTGTCATGTGTAAGACCTGGTGTCAAGGTCATAATAAGAGGTCAAATGTCAGCAATCAGTGTGAATATACAAAAGAAACTGTTTTTTATCAACATTTTTTGTTTATCTTTTTTTTTTAAGGTATTTTATTGCAAAAAAAATGGTGTCCTAAGATATGTGGCAGGAGCATTCATGTTTTTCAGACACATTTATAGTAAAAGATATTTTGTAAGTAATAAAGCTATGGTTTCTAAAAGCTGAACTTGAAGCCATAGTATCAAATTAAAAATTATACCTTATTATGCTTCCCGAAGGGTGAGGTTATAGTCGCCACTTTGTCCGTCTATCTGTCCATCCTCACTACCACATGGAGATAGGGGGCCATCTAACTGTAAACTTAACAAAAGAGACAAATAAAATTCATTTCGTAACAATAGAATAAGGGGCCTTGGCCCATCTATTAAACAAAAGAAAATAACAATAGAAATGGTTCTTTATCACTATTTGGTTGCATGTCCATCTGGTTGTCTGTCTGCCCCTACGCATCTCTAGTCCGGGACATAACTCTGTAACAACAAGAGGTATCCACATGAAATTTTAAGAGTAGATAGAATTCATTGGGTAGATGATTGTGCAGTGCACAAGAACCATAACTCTGCCTTGCCTAATTTTGGAATTACTGCCCTTTGTTCATTTTTTATACTTTGAACTTTGTCCAGGACATAACTCTAAAACTATAACAGATACATGTTTAAACATGAAACTTTGTAAGTAGAGAGATCTCTTTGGGTAAAAGTGCAGTGCAAAAGAACCATAAGTCTGTCTTGCCTAATTTTGGAGTTATTGTCCTTTGTCCATTTCTAAACTTTAAACATTGTGCAGGACATAACTGTAACTATAAGAGATATCAACATGAATCTTTGTTGGTAGATAGATGTCATTTGGTAAAAGTGCAGTGCAAAAGAACCATAACTGTCCCTTGCCTAATTTGGAGTTATTCCCCTCTGTCTATTTCTAAACTTTGAACCCAGGGCATAGAAACTTTTAAGGTAGATAGATCTCTTTGGGTAGAAGTGCAGTGCACAAGAACCATAACTCTGCCTTGCCAAATTTTTGAGTTATTGCCCTTTGTTCATTTTTATACTTTGAACATTGTCCTTGACATAACTGATAGTATAATAGATATGAACAAGACACTTTGTAGATAGATAGATCTAATTGCATAGTGCATTGCACAAGAACTGTAACTCTGCCTTGCTTAATTTTGGAGTTATTGCCCTTTGTTCATATTTACATTTTGAACTTTGTCTGGGACATAACTCTGACACTATAAGAGGTATACTTTTCTGTGTCCAAAATCTATTCAGGGAGCATCCGGTTCATCCTGTTCTTGTTTTAACTTAGTTTTAAGAAAATGAATTTTATTTCTGTTTGTTATTTTAGAAACCAAACTAACTGGTAAGGATTTATTCCTCAGGATAAATTTTTATTATAGACTGACTTGTATTTATAATTTGCATAATCATTTATATATTGCTTTATAATGTCAATTTATTTAACTATTTCTTTTCCTAGACATGTTGTAAACAAATTGTATTTGCTTTAAAAGGGTGTAAAGCTATAGAAGGTTGAAATGATGCATTTTATGTGTTTTTCTTATTCTTATGGTCAAATCTTACAAAAAAAATGTCTTATGATATTTAACCCTAAACCTGCTGGAACCATAAGTGGTTAGCCATTGTAATAACTACTGTAGAGCTAGCCTAGCCGGCATATTGGTGCATTGTAACGTTTGTAGCTGAGGGATTTTTTGTGTGGAGGCGCGGGGGGATTTGGGGGATGTCTGTGTGTGTTTTTTGGGGTTTTTTTGTATTTTGATATTGAAATCCCTTAAATAAATTTTAATGGAATACTCTAAATTAAAAGCTGGGCAAATCCGCGGGTTAAAGGGTAAATACACATAAATTCTATATAAAATGGAGAAAAAAAACCCTGTGACAAAATATTCAATTAATTTATGTTGAGTAAGATACTAGCAAACACTCAACAAATTTTAGCCAGCCCAGTTATATACAATGTATATAGATTACACCCTTTGAAGTCTGTATGGTAAAATATCTCATCTGTTATATTCATCTATGACAATTTTCATAATATTTTATTATTATTCATAAAAATATTTCATATATGGTTAGATTTCCAGTGTGACAAGGCCTTTTCACAGTGTACATGTGTAAAACATAGAATGTCAGCTCTTAAAAGTATATTTTACTTTACAATATTGGCATGGTGTGCGGAATTATAAAGCCTGCTTGATTAATATAACAAAGAATAGTTCAAGAATTGCTTGATTTATAACAAAGACTAATAGCATCTGTCATATGTTGCTGTTTGAATCAGAATATAGGTCCTGATGGGGACTGGTCCAGTTCCCAGAGAGGCGGATATTCTGATCTTTTCTTGCATATTCTACCATATTTTAAATTCTTTACCTTATTAAAACAAATTTCCATGGAAATTTTTATCATTTCACCCATAACTATTTTCTTACAGCAGTGTATGAAATTACAACTCCATTCATAACAGCAAAATTCAACATCCTAAGCATGTCACTGTATAGCTTGTCCCCCATGCCAGATGAAATTTCCGGCATGGGTTAAACTAACGGAAACACCAGTCTGATATGCAAGAAATATTATTCCCTAGTAAATTAGAATGATGCCCTTGCTTATTTGTATATAATTAGTCCTTTGTTTATTTATAACAAATTACTATTTGGTATTATAAGTCTTTTATTATGTACAAGATTTATTTATCCCTTTACCTCATATATATGCGAAACAACGCACTTTCGACTCTATCTCAATCCATTGAGAAGTTGCAGCACTTTGAAATCAATTTTGATAGAAAAAATCCACACAAAATAGTGATTTTTGGCAATTTTAAGATGTCCCCTTGTTGCCATGGTAACAGGAAATTTAAGCCTGAGTATGTGGTTACAAAGGAAATGATCCGGTCAACATTTGTGCCAAGTTTGATTAGTATTGAAGCAGTTTTTATAGTTTTATAGCAATTTGAACTTGTAACGGGAGACTTTTCAATGAAAACAGCCATTTTTCACAAAATGCTCATGAAGTAATGGGTTAAGTCATATTCATATACGTTCTTTTTCTAGTTCCTAGATTATTTATGACATAATTTATTGATATCAGGTTTATTTTTGAAAAAATTGGTTTTGAGTCTTTGATTAAATACCATATTTACTTGGTGTAAGTCCTTGATTAAGTACCAGGTTTATTTATTAGAAATTGGTGTAAGTCCTTGATTAAGTGCGAGGATTATTTATTAGAAATTGGTGTAAGTCCTTGATTAAGTGCCAGGATTATAACAAATTGGTGTAAGTCCTTGATTAAGTGCCAGGTTTATTTATTAGAAATTGGTGTAAGTCCTTGATTAAGTGCCAGGATTATAACAAATTGGTGTAAGTCCTTGATTAAGTGCCAGGTTTATTTATTAGAAATTGGTGTAAGTCCTTGATTAAGTGCCAGGATTATAACAAATTGGTGTAAGTCCTTGATTAAGTGCCAGGTTTATTTATAACAAATTGGTGTAAGTCATTGATTAAGTACCAAAATAATGTATAACCAAATGATATTATTCCTTGATTAAGTCTTTTTTTATCCCCCGCCGAAATTTTTCGGCGGAGGATATAGAAATAGTCTCCGTCCGTCCGACCTTCCGTCCTTCCGTCCGTCCTTCCGTCCGACATTTTTGTCCGGAGCATATCTCTAAAAGTATTTGAGTTATCAACTTGAAACTTCATAGGTGGATAGACCTCATTGAGGAGGAGTGCAGTGCACAAGAATGATAACTACCTTGCATGATTTTTGAGTTATTGCCCTTTGTTATTTTTCAAAATTAATTTTTGTCCAGAGCATAACTCCAAAAGCCTATGAGATATTAACATGAAACTTCATAGGTGCATAGATCTCACTCAGGAGGTGTGCAGTGCACAATAATGATAACTCTACCTTTCATAATTTTTGAGTTATTGCCCTTTGTTATTTTTCATACCTAATTTTTCACCTGAGTGGAGCATAACTCAAAAAGTGTTTGAGATATCAACATGAAATGTCATAGGTGGATAGATCTTATTGAGGAGGAATGTTGTGCGCAAGAATGATAACTCTTCCCTATACAATTTTTGAGTTATTGCCCTTTTTTTTCATGCTATTTTGTCCAGAGCTTATCTCAAAAAGTATTTGAGGTATCAACTTGAAACTTCATAGGTGGATGGATCTCACTGAGGAGGAGTGCAGTGCTTAAGAATGATAACTCTACCCGGCATTATTTTTGAGTTATTGCCCTTTGTTATTTTTCAAAATTAATTTTTGTCCAGAGCATAACTCAAAAAGCCTTTGAGATATCAAAATGAAACTTCATAGGTGCATAGATCTCACTCAGGAGGTGTGCACTGCACAAGAATGATAACTCTACCTTTTATAATTTTTGAGTTATTGCCCTTTGCTCTTTTTCATACTTAATTTTTCAATTCAATTTTTTTCTCAAAAAGTATTTGAGGTATCAACTTGAAACTTCATAGGTGGATAGATTTTACTGAGGAGGGATGCAGCACACAAGAATGATAACCTACCCTGCATTATTTTTCAGTAATTGCCCTTTGTTATTTTCAGCCATCAGTATTCACATAGGTTTCAAATCTGTAATCACTATAGCCATCAGTTTTCATTACCAAAAGACCTCTTAAAATGGAATTATTCCGCTCTACTACATATACATTCTTCCAATGAGCAAACACATTTGGCGGGGGATGGCCATGTTGACATGGCTCTTCTTTTATTTATAACAATATTACACACTCAATACTTTTATCTATTTATGACATCTTTTAATATTAGCATTTAGTGAAAACATTATAATTATAATAGTTAAAGCATGTTTAGAGTTGATTACTACCTAAAAATGATATTAAAAACTGCATTGTTCTGATTGTGAATAGATTATAAAACTGTTTCTATAATGTAGCATGCACTTACCACTGTCATCCATTAAGAGGCTAAACCTTAACCAAGCCTGCAACATTTTTCAATTTTGCCATTTCTGACATTCTTTACATATTCCTTTTCTATCTCTATTTTGTTTGTGCAACACTCCTGATAGTGCATATGTTTCTCTGATTAGACAGTTAGTCAATGATTGAAATTAACATGATATTGTGAAATTAACATGACATTGTGAAATTAACATGATATTGTACATAAGTTTTATTTGAACATCATGAAATTAACAATGTAAATTTTATTTGTCATATGTGCTCAACGTATATTTCAAATTTTTAAATAAGGTTTTATTTGACTGTCATTACATGTATATGTTTCATAGTTTTATATTTGATTGCATATTTTGGATGCACCTTGTCATAATGTTCTAATTGATTGTACATAAAATGGAAAAGATGACAAAACCAACATAATGCGTTTGCGACCAGCATGGAAACAGACCAGCCTGCGCATCCACGCAGTCTTATCAGGATCCATGCTGTTTGCTTACCAACCCTATTACAAGTAGAGAAACTAATAGCGAACAGCATGGATCCTGATCAGACTGCACGGATGCTTAGGCTGGTCTGGATCCATGCTGGTCGCAAACCCATTATGTTGGTTTTGTCATGGCGCGGCTCATATTATAATATTATGTTCTGGTCAATAAAACTTTTTCCAAGTGGTTTAAAATATCTGCAGTGTTCTTACCTTAAAATTTCTTACACTGTTTGAAATCTTAAAAATAATGGAGATGTGGTCTGTTTGTTAATATGCCTGCCTCTCAACGTGGTATATAAACCGTGTGTCCGAATATTAAACCAGTACTGGAATTCAGACTGAAGAATAGAATATCAAAAGTATTGTACATGACTAATGGGTTTTTGGGTGTAATTTTAATCAAAATGCCAACTCTGATTTGATAAGAAAGCAGACTTGTATATGAGCCGTGTCATGACAAAACCAACAGAATGCGTTTGCGACCAGCATGGATCCAGACCAGCCTGCGCATCCGCGCAGTCTGATCAGGATCCATGCTGTTCTCTTACCAACTCTATTACAAGTAGAGAAACTGACAGCGAATAGCATGGATCCTGATCAGACTATGTTGGTTTTGTCGTGACACGGCTCATATGATTTTAAAACATGATAGTTTTCACATAGTGTAGTGTAGGTAATCATGAAATAGGACAGAAAACATGATAGATAGGTAATTATGAAGTAGGACAAGTGCTTACAATCATGTGAGGAAGTTGTACAGCACTGTTATAAAAATTGACAGTGATTCTACCAAGCTTCCTGTTTAAGCAAGGAATTGGGCATCTTGTTTTATTGCTAAATAATGATTCCATGGTATGTAACACTGTAATCCCACTCAAAAATGAAATAATATGAATTATGTAAGTTATTTAAATGGTTTTTGAATATGCTAGTTTTATGGTAATGTTATCTTGCAGGGCTTCCAGAAAAGAAGTCGAAAATATGTATACTTAATCCAAAGAAAGCCTATAATCTATGTAAGTTTTTATACATGTATATACAATTTAACCTATGAATAATTTTTATTTTACTATGTTACAGTAATAGTGGGGCTGAGTGGTTATTGACTTCAAACCAATTGTCCCTTTCTGCTGTGGGTGTGAATCTTGAATTCATTCATGTGAGGAAACTATCCCACCTGCTTTCGGAACGTTGGTGGTTCTACTTAGGTGCCTGTTTGTGCCTGAAATAATGCATGGATGGGCACCTGTGGTATTCCTCCACATACAAGGTATGAGCTGGAAAGTCCCCATATGACCATTACTGTGTTGGTGTGTCATTAAACCCAACCAAAAAAAAGAAAGAAATAAAATAAAAATCAGTAATAATGTCTAAAATATTATGCTTTGGCTTAATAGCTGGAACATCATAATTCATTTGTTTCTTAAAAGTTTTGGTAATTAGTACAGTTATTTAGTTATGTTCAGCAAGAAATTTATAAGGCCTGTAAAATTTACATTGCTTTTATTTATAACCAACAATAACATGGCCTTGGAAAAAAACTGTGATATGATATTAACCAATCATTCTAACACAATGTTTTATTTATGCTCAGCAATAATTTTGGGGCAGTTGAAGTTGACCTTGAGTGAGATACGGCATGCCCTGTACATGCTTGATGAGGAGGTTTTAACACCAGAACTGCTGAGACAACTTCTTTCATATGCTCCAAACAAACAAGAGGTAAGAAATTTAGCTACCTTTCACACCTAATACTACATAATTGTGTTACTCCCACAAAAAAAAGCCAAAATTTGACAGCTTTTTGAACAATTCTGAACCTTCTAGCTCAACTATACAAAAGTGCCACTTGGGACATGGCTGTAGCGTGTGAAAGTTTAGTTTTTTGCTAAAAATAGGTACACTTTGTATATTATTAAAGTTGTTTCATTTGGTATTGCTCATTTTACTCATGGAAAGGTAAGTAACTCTACAGATAAAACACTGTCCTATTTTCAATCTCCCATGCAGTGATCTCCCCTTATCAGTCCACCATTTTATAATTTTTCAGCTTTTGAATATTTTTTTTCATTATTTTGTATAAAGTTAAAAATAAAACAGAAAGAGAAAAATGATCTTCGACTTTCTTTGTAACGGTATATATTTGACGTTACATCATGTGTCTTTCATCATCATGATTGTGACATCTGCAAAGGCAGTGATTACAATCTGTGAAGGGAGGTAATCACTGTGAGGAGTTTGTCTTATTTTAAACACTAGTGTTGTAGTTGTCCCCCTTGATACATCTATAGAAACTTTAATGCAAACAGATCAAAGCATATCTTTATATTCACAGATGGAGCAGTTAGACTCGTATAATGGTGATATAGAGGAACTTAGTCCACCAGATAGATTTACATATGAGGTATGAGCTAACCCATTAGTTAAATTATCATTATTCCCATTCAGGTCATTTTCACTCTATCACTAGGGATGAAATAAGGCCCAGTGCCCATTCTAAGAATTATAAGCCTCATTTTTTTTCAAATTTGTAACACAATATCCAAACAGCAGTAAAAAAATATATAACTTTTCAAACCTCTGAGAAAAATGGAACAGTTTTGATGTGTTTCTTAAAAGAAGTGTTAATATCTTAACAAGGGTTATAGGTACATGTATAACCCTTTTGTATTGAAACAATCTTTGTGGAAAAAAACCATTTAAGGCAAAAAAAAATTTAATAATTGATTAGATTGTATTTCTGTAATAGAATCAATGACAATTATGGTATATGAAGCCACATTGTTTATAGTATTTGAGGGCAGTCAGCTACTGGTACCTAATTCATTTGTCAAGAGAGCGTGGAGATCCCTTTTGTAGTTTGACATATTTAATATCAAGCATCTTTCTATGGGTGCTTGTCAGACAGAGTTACAGTCCTTGTTTTGTTTCTTTAATATTTCAGATGAGTCGAGTACCAGGTTATGAACAACGACTCAAAGCGCTGGTTTTCAAAGGAAATTTTCAGGAGAAAATCTCTGAAATGAAAGATGTATGTATAATACACTGGAGCCGCGATATAGCGCTCATGTTGGGGTCCATGATCTCAAGACAGTGTTGTAACGAGTAACTTTTTATAACGCTCATTGTGTAATTATAGCGAAAATATCGCATTACCCCACCCACCGCCGAAACATATAACGCTTGTTAGTGGAAATGATTGTTTACTTACCTTCCAATGGATATCAGTCCAAGCTTTTTGCGACGGACGCGCCCTCAGGCGCGTTCAGAGCTAAGTCATCTACACATGGGATTTCGTTGGCTACACTCGCGCAATGTGTCCTAAACCAATTAACAGCCCAAGAAATAGTACATGAATTTGATCCTTCAAAACTCCCATACTTTGTCTGGATATCTTAATGTCTTCCATATTTAGCCTTTTCAATTTCAAATTAAGTTATCCAAGTTAAAATATGAACGTATATTATTGATAAAAACGTTGTAGTCCCGTAGTATTATTGCGCAATATGCAAATTACTGCTGAAACGATTTACCGCTGTCGAAAAAGTAGGACAGCAAATTATACTTCAATAAAGGTGTAACCTCTGAGTTCCAAGACATTATTAGTAGGAAATAAATATTTCTACATTATACAAAACATTATTATTAACAAATCAAAAGTTTTTCGTGACTCTAGGATAACTCGCGCATTAATAAAAGAAGAACTATTTTCGTGACTCATACCGCGGGTTTAGCTGAATATTCAGCAGTTATTAATATATTAGATACAGTACAATGGCTAGTAAAAATATCTATTTTTGAAAATGCATGTAAGACACTTTACCGCCATGTAGTCTTTCATGGTAAGGAAGTTATAATATCAGTTCTACTTCCGATTCTTGTGGTTTGTTTACATATTTTACTAGGTCATGATATGAGTTAACCTTCGCTATTCTAAAATAGATTCTGCTTTACCTGTTCTGATTTTTGGACAGGCGATTATAGGAAGTACACATTAAACGTGTAATTAATAAACCAGCGGATTGTAATGCAATACTTTTAGAAATGCTATACAACTGTAAGAAGCAAACAAGTTGAAAATGGAATTTAGTGTGAAGTTGAAAAGGACAACTAAACACTGTAGTGCTTAAGTGACATTTAAATTAAAATAAAAACGATGTGCTCTGGCCTCTACATCTTTACCTTGTAAATAAAAAAAATCTAAGAAATACACTATTAATTGCTGATGATTTTAACCAATTTTTTTTTAATGAGACATATCCAAGAGAAATAAAAATACAAATGACTTATATTTTATTGTCTGTATGCCCACTATGATACAACACGAAGCAATTCTAAATAGCATTCTCAAATGTATAATGTATTATGTTTGAAGTTTATTTGCCTGGATTTATTCTAGAAATATTTCGTTGATAGTTTTTTTTCTATTTACATATCATTTCTTAGAATAAATCGATAAGGACACTGATTTACAAGTTTGACCAGAGTTTTTAGGCATAAATTTCATTCTGTATTTAAGTGCTTGAAAGTAGAAAATCTGAATTATATCAGTTTGGGACACAAAATATATTGCTCTACAAATCTCGAACTTGTATGGAATAAATTTTCTCTGTTATATATATATATATTTTTTTTTTCTAAAAGAAGCCTTAATTAATGTCTCTCCGGTTGCATGTCCGTCGCATTCAGTGCTGCAGCACTTTGATTTATATATTATTATTAATTATTTTGTAAAGCATTACTGAATATCTTTAATATAAACATGAAATTTACGAATTAAAAATATAAACCACGAATGTACAATTGTTTATAAATTTCCAGTAAAACAGCGGTGTTAACGTGTGTTATGTGTGGTCATGAAAATTGATACCTAGTGGATGGGACTAAATTAATCGTCTTTCCTGCTGTCTCTTGTGAAAAAATCAGTCATCCTCAACAACTTTTTTGCCGATAGATCGAAAGTAATTGCTTTTTAAAATTAATTGTATGCTTGGGTGATTAACTTAACTCTTCGGTGTTTGCATGTTTTAGCTAACAGTTTGATACCTGACTGATCAACAGTTCAAAATGAACAAAAGAGCAGATTAACACTTACCTGTGTATGAATTCACACCTTCTTATCATGAGTGATGTAATTATGACTGTTTATTGCACTCGACTGACACATTGAACAAGCGTTATAGTGGATAAGGTGCGGTATTGATATACATGAAAAAAAAATTATAATCAGCGAAAAATACAATTTTTTTGGGGGGAGCCAAGGCATATGAGCGTTCTACTGAGATTAGCGCTATACCGAAGAGCGCTATATCGCGGCTCCAGTGTATTATGGTTATAATTTTTTTATTTTAAGATAGTCTTACTGTAATGCTCTCCCGCCAAAGAATGTCAAACATCAGCAAATATCATAGGAAATCGGTTATTTCCGGAACTTTTTTATTTTCAAAATCTTGGGTTTAAGATTATTTACAATCACTCATCCTTTATTGCTATGTACTAAATTCTGATTATAAATGCTTAAAACTTATTGAATACCGAATATTGTGAAAAATAATATTCCGGAAATGACCAATATTTACGATATTGGCCAATGTTATCTAAAATTTAGGCGGGAAAGCATTACAATACTTAATGAACAATTCCAAGGTGCTTGATATTATGAGTGTGTGACAGGTTTGATTTAATAACTTTCACACCATACATATCTTCACTTTGGTGCAGAAATGGGTTAACTACTATTAAAGTTCAAAAGGAGTTAATCCGTTACTGCATTTAGGTGACGATATATGATTTTACATGAAAAAATCAGTTCCTAAAGGCTTTTTACATAATTTTGAAATTTTTTGTTTTATGTTATACTTTTATTTTTATATAAGATACCATGTCATTCTTATATAAAATGATGCTTCACTGATGATGATGTTGTGTTGTGGTGTTTTTTTGTTTTTTTTTTGTTGTTTTTTTAAATTTCTTTGACATTTTCTTGTTTCTTATCTAACCTGAACAAGAATTATTGAAAATATACAAGTACATATAAATTAAATGACTGTATTTCTCATATTTTGTTAAGAGTTGTATAAGATCTAATTTTTCTTTAGTTTCATAAGTAAAGGTTATTTAACATTATAAAAATTCTGTGACATTTGCAAGGTCTTTACGTTGTACTTTAATTCCAAGAAAGTTTTAAACAAACTGTATAGAAAATTAAAAAAACGGTCATGTCAACTTAGCTTAACCCTAAGTCAGCTTTCAGGGGCAGATTCTACCTGACAGTATGTGTCCTGTGCAGACGACACATTCATATACACTGCTCGTTATTCAGTCATTGAATTTTGAAATTTCTCCCCTAAACTGATGAATGGTTTGTGTCTTAATTAAAAATGTGATATTTTAGATTTTTACTAAGGTCTTTAAATAGCTATTCCATTTTAAGGTCCCTGAGCATCAAGGTCACTCTGGTTTAAACCCTTAACCTGCTGGAACCAGAGATGATCAGCCTTTGTCACCAGTATAAGCCAGTTTAGCCTACAAAGTCAGAAATTTTCCATCTTTGGCTGTATAAAAAAATGGTAGTACTGTGAATAATTAATTAGCAGGTGACTGTCTATTTGAAACATTACCAAATAGAACCTTTCTGCAATAATGTTATACAAGCTGCAATAAAAATTGTTTTTTTTACTAGATTCTCTGTAATGAAAAATTTTCATTTCAACTCTTCAGTTTTAATAAAAAAGAAGTCTATTATACTACTCTTACTTTCATTTTCTTCATTGCTCACAGGAAGATATTTTAAAGAAAAAACAATTATTAACGTGTGTTCACACAAACGTTAAAGACAATAAGTCAGAACCAGCTCAATATTAATCATAATGGTCAGAATTTTAACTTGCACTCAAAAAAAGGGGTGACCTGTCTCACAATGTACGTTTGAGGTTGTCTTGGACCGTATTTGAGATGTCAATTTTAACAGTTACACCACACCAGGAGTCAAACACTTACGCCACACCAGGAGTCAAATCAATCACACACAGAGTTTCAGTTATTTATTAAATTTCTGTAGAAGTAGCAAAACAGTCCTTGAGTACACATGTAGTTGCAAAGGTCAATACTTGTATAATCTTTATGACTTATGTAAAAGTACTTTACATGTATTTTTAGATCTGAGTAAAAGATAATTCACCTTCCTTTATTTTTGAATTATTCATATTCATGTAAAAAGATAGCTTCAAAATAATCTGTGTATTAGGAAAAATATGTTTTATTCCATAACTAGAATATGGCAGACCCCGTTTTTACAGCCCTTTTACACATAGTATTGATAGGGGTAAGGAGCTGTATAGGAATAACTTTGTCCCATCCCAAATGTTTTATGAGATATATTTTAAACATAATTATATGTATCAGGTCTCAAGATTGCCAAGTAAGGCCAAGTTTGTAAAAATTTTATAATTTACATTTTCTTTTATAAATGTGTTCTTATTAAAATTGTGTAATTTGCTTTTTTCTTTTTCAATGGGTGTGACTGTTACCAAAATTTTTGTTTTCCAGCATTTGCAGCATATTAGGAAAGCATCATTGGAATTGAGACATAGTAAAAAACTGTCAAAGATTCTAGAGGTAAGTATAAATACATTGTCATAATCCTTCTTTTAATTACTTCAGAAATTTGTTAGATTGATTGTTTAGCTTACGGCATAAGGTGAGCTCATTGTGATCACTTTAAGTCGTGCATCGGTGGTCAGTGCTTGACTACAAGATCTATGTCATCTCCTGGTAAATCACTTAGTCATTTGTCATGAAACTTACTGGAATGGCCCTCTACAAAAAAGTATTGGTTTATTTCGTTGTACTGAACAAATTTGCCATTCTGTAGAATAAGCTAATAAAAAAATGAAATAAACTTTGAACTACATCATTCTCTCCAAGGTCCTTGGATGAACATTATGGTCTGTCAAACAAGATGATGTTACAATGTATTTAGGTGCTAGTAACAAAATAACTTTTAACATCATCTAGCTTACCTCAACATATGGACCGATTTTGATGAAACTACCGGTATATAGGAATAATAATTGTATAATTGCTTAGGTTCTTCTTGTTTGTGAAACAAATAGCTGACAATAAACTCACAATAAACTTTAATGAAACAACATGTCCTCTTCAACTTGTAAGTCATTTCCAAGATTGGGTTCAGAACTAAAAATAGAAACTTTAAATAACACCATCACTTCAACTGCTGGGCATGCTGACTAAAAAGCAAACAGTGCAGACCATGATTATGATTAGGCTGAATTTGGTCTGCACTGGTTGCATAGGTATATTCAGAAACCAACAGCACACTAAAGGTTTTGACATAGCAGCAAATGAGAAATCACTATTTTATTATTGCAGGATTGCCTCAATCTTGCATGCAGAAAATGAGAAATTGCTATTTTAATATTGCAGGATTGCCATATTGGCAATTGTCAAAACTGATATATGATATGTAATATTTCAGCTTATATTGGCAATGACCTAAATTGTTACATGATATTTTATATTTCAGCTTATATTGGCAATGGGTAATTACATGAACCAAGGTAACCAGAGGGTAGGAGAAGCAGCTGGGTTCAAGATCAGATTTTTATCTCAAGTAAGAATTAATCCTTTAAACCTGGCAGTGTTATTGTTTTGTCTAAGTCTAGCCTGCCGATCTATGCGGTCCCTGGTCCCTTGACTGCTTTTAGTTGATTATGTTTCATATTGAAATCCTAACAAAGGACAGTTTTGTATTCAAAGCAGGAAAAGTCCTTTTATAATCATTTTATCATTAGAATAATTATACGAGACCTCACTGGAACTGGACTGAATCCAAGTTGTTAAGTCATTATTTATAGAGTTATGCCCCTTTTTAACCATATTTAACCCATTACCCGATAATCATGCCTTTTAACAGCCTTTTCACCCCCCTTTATTGTTGTCTCAAATTGTGAAAAAGTGCCTTATTAAGGCACCAAACACTTGTTTTCTTTTGAGCAATGTTGTTTAAAAAGGTGACTTTTTGGCGCGCCCCCTTATCCAAAAGATACATCAGGGGGATGTGCCCCCTTCTGTTTGGGGGGTTTGAAGGGGGCTGAAGTCCCCCTCATCGCCAAGAAAATTTTGGACTTTTTAGAGGCTAAATATGACCCTAGATTGATGAGGTAATGTGTAACCAACGCTGAAAAGCATTTGACTCTATCTCAATCCATTGAGAAGTTGCAGCACTTTGAAATCAATGTTGATGGAAAAAATCAACACAAAATAGTGCTTTTTGGCAATTTTGAGATGTCCCCTCGTTGCCATGGTAACAGGAAATTTAAGCCTAGGCATGTTGTTACAAAGGCAATGGTCCAGTCAACATTTGTGCCATGTTTGATTAGTATTGAAGCAGTTTTTATAGTTTTATAGCAAATTGAACGTGTAAAGGGAGTCTTTTCAATGAAAACAGCCATTTTTCACAAAATGCTAATAATGGGTTAACTGGTTTCAAAGCATAACTTTTGAAGGATTTCAATGATTTTATTTATTTTTGGTATGTAATATGTTATATCAAAACTCAGTTTTAGTTCGATTTTGGTCACAATTAACTTATTATTAATTAAGTTATGCCCACTTTTAAGTGAATTTTTTGTGTAATTATCAGAATAACTTTAAAGGATTCCAGGGAGTGTGTATACATTTGCCAAGCAAGTATGTAATATTAGAACACAGGTCAAGTTTGATAATTTCTCTGCAATCAGCGTATTGCAACTTTGATTTAATTGATTTCTTTTAATGCAATGTTCAATTATTTTCTATTACTGATATGTTAAATTTTTGCCAAGAAAAAATTTAAACTGTATATTTCTCTTGTACATTTGATGGAAGTCATAATCAGAACCATTTATAACAAGAAACTTGCTATATTTCTGTAAGGCACATTTTAGTTACCTTCTGGTAAATTTGCCACCCTGCCTCAGCAGAGCTCTTATGAAAACAAGTTCTTTTTCAAAGTTAATGTCATTTATATTGGTTGAGGTTGGGAATCAGACATTATAACAAGTATTGCAATGTCAGTGACAAACTTTTGTTTATTTAAGACTTAATAATAATGTAACCCGCCTGTGAAAAGCAGGGCAGCATGTTCACTGACAAAACATTTTGATTTTTGGCAGACGTATTGCTTTTGCCTTTTTCGTCTGTCTATTCATCCACCCAAGCTTGAGGAAAAATAAGTAATGGTACTTTCTCTTAGATGTCATTCCTTCCATAACTGGCTTTTATATGGCTATCTTCCTTTATGTGGCTTAAAGAAAATTAGGGAGAACAATAGAGTAAGCCACATAAGTATAAGAACTTCTGTTTGTCTGCAGTAAACTTGTCATGCTTTCACAGTTTCAAACTGCCAACTGGATTTAGATGAAACTTAACAGGAGTGATTATTACTATCTCTAGTTAGAGTAGTTGTACACATAGCCAGCATGTTACGCTTCCCTGCACAAGATGGCCACCAGAGCTTAATATAGAAAAAACAGGCTTTCATTTATCGAAAAATCCATCCTTAGAATAGACACATGTACACACAGGGGAGACATATGTTTTTGTGACAAAAAACCTTCTAGTCTCAAGTTAAAATCTCTTTTCTTACTTCATAACTAAACTGTTTTTATTATGTAATCTAAAGTGATTAATTGTATGATTTTTTACAGCTCGAAATAACGAAAACATCTGACAATAAACTGACATTCCTACATGTGTTAGCGGAGGCTGTGTTTAACAAGTTTCCAGAGCTTGTGGCAGTAGGGGAGGAGCTTACTACAGTTCCAGCAGCAGCCAAGTGTAAGAGATATAATTGAGTTGTGCCTTGACAAAACCTAAAGTGCTTTTGCCACCAGCATAGATCCAGACCAGCCGTGCATCCACACAGTCTGATCAGGATACATGCTGTTTGTCTACAAATCCTATTACAAGAAGAGAAACTTAAATAGTAAACAGCATGGGTCCTGATCAGACTGCGCAGATGTTCAGGCTGGTCTGGATCCATGCTAGTCACAAACGCATTATGTTGGTTTTGTCATGGCACAGTTTGTGATGCCAAGGGCACGAATTTAAGTTCAAAAGATAACAAGACACCATGTCATGATGTGCATATATAAATATCATGTCACAAGGTCAAAGGTCACAAGGTCAATGTCATAGTGAATTATGATGATAATATTAAATACAATGGTTATTCTATATCAAGGTCATAATGATATTTGGTCTAACGAATTTCCATTATATGATGTTTGTGTGTATAAAAAGCAAAAGGTCTATATAAACAAACATATACCATATGAAAAAATTCCATAGAAAAGTTTAAGTGAAGATTCAGGTTATCCCTTTATTGTTAAGAATTTTTCAAACAAAAGTTGTTTTTTTTAATTAAGAATAATGTTAGTGTTAAAAGCTATATATCTGCTGCCAGTAGTTACCAAAATTATTGTTTTTTGAATTATAAAAAGAAATAATTTCTATATGCACCTGTAGAAAAGAATTTGGTTCATTTATTTCCTTTATAGTGAGTTGAGTAGGGCATGCATGAAATCATTACTTTAAATAGCAACATAATATTTTGTTCTGGAACATTTCATTATTTAAATGAACAATATTCATAAATGTTTAAAATGAAAGAGAAATTCTATGCTACAGATGTTTCGAGAATCAACCTTAAGATTATTAAAACAACATAATTTTACCATTTATAACTCGTATTTATTTTATTTGTTGTAGAATAACACTTTTGGGGCAATGCTGTTTATTAAATTGTATTACTATTAAATTTTATTACTTTGTGACAAAACATTTTTGATTGATTTAACAGTTTCCAATGTTCTTTTGAATCAAGAACTTCAAGACCTGAGAAAAGTGTTACAAGTAAGTTTACTGTTTTTTACATGACATTTTTTTCTAAAAACAGTTTCTAAAACTACATGTATATATATTTTTTTGTTTGGAAACCACATTTAAGACCTGTTTTATGTATATTTCTTTTTTACACAATACATTAATTTTACATTTTTCAATCAATACTTTTATATAACATAAAAAATTACAAAATAATATACATACATGTATGTTGTTGTGTAAGTAGACATTTTAAAACAATTTCAAAGAGCTTAAACATGAATTTCTTAAGGAAAAGGGATATTATATTTTAAACAAAATAAAGTTTTGTTGAGTCATTAATAAATGTTGACTCATGAAATGTCCATGAAAACAAACACCAAGAGAACTGATAAACATCACGTACAAGTAGTTACCGGTAAAGGTTATGTTCATGACAGGACATTATGGTAATTAGCATATATCCATATTGTTAATTGACAATTATACCTGAATTGAGTAAACAAGGTTTCTTTAGTTGGTACACATTATGTTTTCCTTTGTGGCCCATAATTAGGGTTTCCTTGGTCTGCCACCATAAGGGTTTCTTTGGTTGGCCACCATAAGTATTTCTTTGGTGGGTAAATCTTCCTTTCCTTGGAGGGCAACCATTAGGGTTTTCTTGGTGGGCCACCATAAGGGTTTTCCTTAGTCAGCCACCTTAAAGGTTTCTTTGGCTGGGTACCATAATGGTTTCTTTGGTTGTCCACCTTAAGGGTTTCATTGATGGGCCATTCCTTGGTTTTCCTGAGTGGACCGCCATTAGAATTTCGTAACTACTAAGGCTTTCTTGGAAAGCAAGCATAAGGGATTCCTTGATAAGTGGCAATTAAGGTTTCCTTTGTAAGTGATTATTAACATTCCCTTGGTTAGTGACAATTAAGGTCTCCATCTTTAGTGTCAATTAAGATTTCCTTCTTAAGTGACAATTAAAGTCTCCTTGATAAGTGGCAATTAAGGTTTCCTTGATAAGTGACAATTAATGTTTCCTTGGTAAGTGACAATTAATGTTTCCTTGGTAAGTGACAATTAAGGTTTCCTTGGTAAGTGACAATTAAGATTTCCTTCTTAAGTGACAATTAAAGTCTCCTTGGTAAGTGACATTTAAAGGGAGACACAGGCAAAATTTTCATTTCTTAGTTTTGAATTTTTCGTTCCTAATTCTGTAAATGGCCTCAAAATAAATATATTAGACAGTCAAAGGAACAAAACTTTTCTCCATATAAAGAATAAATTGCGGTTTCCTAACCTGACCCGCGTGGGTCAGGTTAGAGCGCTAGGATTTCACAATAGTTGTCACAGTGAACTCTGGAAATGTTAAAGAACATGTCAAATGAATGATTTAGATTTGTTTCAAGCATACAATATCCACAGTATCTGTTAATGTAACTTCAACGATTTGTTCAAGTCACCTGACTTGTTTTAAAATTATTCGGTGATTCTATTGGCGTCTAAATTTTGTTCAACATATATAAATATATTCATGCTTCAAATCCAAAATATATAGAATTTAAACAGAAATTTATGCTGAAACTTTCAGAAATGTCATTTTAGCGCGAGGTGAGTACAAAAGATCATTTTAATTTTTTTGTAATTATTTTGCCTGAATATCCCTTTAAGGTCTCCTTGGCAAGTGACAATTAAGATTTCCTTTCTAATTGACAATTAAAATCTCCTTGGTAAGTGACAATTTATGTTTCCTTGGTAAGTGACAGTTAAGGTGTCCTCCTGAAGTGACAATTAAAGTCTCCTTTGTAAGTGACAATTTAGGTTCCTTGGTAAATGACAATTAAGGTTTCCTTGCTAAGTGATTAGTAAGGTTTTTCTTGATGGGCAACCTTTAGGGTTTCCCCCATTTTCAGTACCAAGCTATCATGAAAAGATATAGTACATGAAATAATTAGATAATTTTTGACAATATCCTTTAAGTATACATATTAGATATTTTTCTATAGAAACCTATGCCTTGATCATCTTTATAATATGACTCATCAACAGCTTCTATTATATCATCATTAGCATGGCCTGACCTATTGACGTATGAAAAAAGTTTTTTTATCCAGTCTAATGTTTAAAAGTCACAGGTCATGAAATGTTATTAACTCTGCTTCTTAATAAAATCATCTTTAATGTGTAAAACATGTTAAGAAGATCTGAATGTTCGTCAGATGTTCTTGTGATGTCATAATGTCCAGAAATATTGTCTCTGGTTATGAGTCATAGGCCTCATTGTCCTTGTTTTTAACAAGGTCGTTTTCTCTTTACATATTAAGTCTGATAACTCTTACACAGGATAACTCTTACACAGGATAACTCTTACAAAGTCACAAAAATTATGTAGTTATCAAATTTTGGAGCACAAAAACATCATTGATCCTTCTTTCAAAGAATCTTGACAATTCAAACAGTTGTCCTTCTTCCCCTGGTATAGCTAGCTACTCATATGGTGAAAAGTGTTATTCTTTTGGACACATTTTTAGTTTGTCACAATTTGGTTAATGACACTGTGACAGAGTATCATTTGTTTGTCAGTGCTGCCTCGGTAGTTTACCTTGGTGTAGAAGCAAAAACAAAACTTACTGAAAAAAATATAAATACTCGTACATTTTCCAGGAACACTTGTTAATGAAATATATGCAAGTGTAAACCTGAAATACTGACTTTTAAATCTTACAGAAACAAACAGAAAATATATGTTGAAAAATAATGGTTATACATGTATTTCATTGTGTCATTCCAGGATATTTCTAACACACTCGAGAAGTTTGGATCGCAGAAAACAAACCTTGGTATCAATGATAAATTCCAAGATGTGATGGGACATTTCATATCACAGGCATCAGATGAAATACAAAGTTTGTTCCGTCTGAATGCAAACACCATGGAAGAATTTCACAGCACTGTTCAGTACTTCGGAGAAGATCCTAAAAAAGTGACAACAACTGAACTGTTTGGAGTATTTGCTGAGTTTATCACCAAGTTTGAGGTGAGGGCATTGTTAGTGTGTATTTTGATAAGTTACATATGTTACCTTTATTCACCCCTTAACCAGTTGATTTTTTTTGTATCTTTGAATTTGGAACAGTCCATTCAAATTACAAGGGATTTCAATGACAAAATACAAAAATTGAACTGCCAACAGTATAGAACTGTATGTAAAATACAGGCTGGATTGGCTATATACTGGTAGCAAAGGCTAATTGCGATGCCAAAGGCTTATTGTGGCAGCAAAGGCTAATTGTGGCGGCAATGGCTAATGCTAATTGCAGTGGCAAAAGTTGATTGCTTTGGTACCGGTTCTCTAGTAGGTTATGGGTAAGGGTATGATATGTCTATTTATAGTATATTCAAATTCTGCTTACTTTGTCATCCTTTGTGCTTATTTTTATTCATAAAGTGATTTTTGTGCCCCCACGTTAGTGGCAGGCATTTAGATTTACCCTTGTCCGTCCGTCCGTCCTTCCGTCCGTCCGTTAACTTTTGTGTCGCACGTAACTCAAAAAGTATTTGACCTACAGTCATGAAACTTTACAGGAATGTTGATCAGCATGTGTTGTTGTGCACCTGGGTATTTTCGTCTGGATATTTTTAGTATTTTCAGAGTTATTGCCCTTGACTTAGTAAAATTTTGCAAATTTCAACTTGTGTTGCATGTAACTCAAAAAGTATTTGACCTAGAGTCATGAAACTTTACAGAAATGTTGATCAGCATGTGTAGTTGTGCACCTGGGTATTTTCGTCTGGATATTTTTAGTATTTTCAAAGTTATTGCCCTTGACTTAGTAAAATTTTGCAATTTTCAACTTGTGTCGCATGTAACTCAAAAAGTATTTGACCTAGAGTCATGAAACTTTACAGGAATGTTGATAAGCATGTGTTGTTGTGCACCTGGGTATTTTTGTCTGGATATTTTTAGTATTTTCAGAGTTATTGCCCTTGACTTAGTAAAATTTTGCAATTTTCAACTTGTGTCGCATGTAACTCAAAAAGTATTTGACCTAGAGTCATGAAACTTTACAGGAATGTTGATCAGCATGTGCAGTTGTGCACCAGGTATTTTCGTCTGGATTTATTTAGTATTTTTAGAATGTTGCCCTTCACTTACAAAATTTTTGCAATTTTCAACTTGTGTCTCAAGTTACTCAAAAAGGATTTGACATAGTCATTAAACCTTATGGGCAGGTTGCTCAGCATATTTAGATTTGCACCTGGGGTTTCGCTTGTGGATTTATCCAGTATTTGTAGAGTTATTTCCCTTGGCTTAGTAAAAAGATTGACAGAACAGTGGCGCGGAGGGGGCACCCGAGTCCTATGGACACATTTCTAGTTGTCATATTGTTAGGAATATCAATTTAATGACTTTGCTTGTTATCCCCCGCCGAATAGGTAGCGGGGAATATAGAAATAGTCTCCGTCCGTCCACCACATTTTTGTACAGAGCATAAAAAACAACACTAAAAAAAACCAATTTATTTTAGGTTTCCTATAATTGACATAATTGAACTGACTCTTAATTATAATACCTGATAATGTTCTTTTTCCTTTTTTTCATTTCAGAAAGCTCACCGGCACAACATTATGTACAAACGATATGCAAATGAGAAAACTTAAGAAGACACCAGGTTTCATTTAAACATCATTTTTGACCGGAACATCATCCCGTTTCCTTTGAAGATTTTGCTTCCAGGCACATCACATTTCTCATTGACTTGTAGTTTCCTTGAAACATCATGATTTGTGACTTGTCTTGGATATTTGATACCTTTTGGACATCATCCTTCCTTAGGATATGTGATTTATACTTTCAAACAGAGAAAACTTTAGTGCCAATCTTTTTCCTTTGGACAACTGGCTGCCATTTAACTTTGTGTATTCCATGGACATGTTGATTTGTTTTGGACAGCCTGCTTCCATGGATATCATATTCTGTGGAAATTTAGCATCATTTGAATATCTTCATTAACATGAACATCATATGCATTTTTTTGAAATCAAGCTTTGTTTGAACATATAACTTGTAAGGACATGAATGGTGACATGTGAGGACATGAATGGTGACATGTGAGGGCATGAATGGTGACATGTGAGGACATCAATGGTGACATGTGAGGACATCAATGGTGACATGTGAGGACATGAATGATGACATGTGAGACATATGAGGACATGAATGGTGACATGTGAGGACATGAATGATGACATGTGAGGACATGAATGGTGACATGTGATGACATAAATGGTGACATGTGAGGACATGAATGATGACATGTGAGACATATGAGGACATGAATGGTGACATGTGAGGACATGAATGGTGTGACATGTGAGGACATGAATGGTGACATGTGAGGACATGAATGATGACATATGAGGACATGAATGGTGACATGTGAGGACATCAATGGTGACATGTGAGGACATGAATGATGACATGTGAGACATATGAGGACATGAATGGTGACATGTGAGGACATGAATGATGACATGTGAGGACATGAATGATGACATGTGAGGACATGAATGATGACATGTGAGGACATGAATGGTGACATGTAAGGACATGAATGGTGACATGTGAGGACATGAATGGTGACATGTGAGGACATGAATGGTGACATGTGAGGACATGAATGATGACATGTGAGGACATCAATGGTGACATGTGAGGACATGAATGATGACATGTGAGACATATGAGGACATGAATGGTGACATGTGATGACATGAATGGTGACATGTGATGACATGAATGGTGACATATGAGGACATGAATGGTGACATGTGAGGACATGAATGGTGACATGTGATGACATAAATGGTGACATGTGAGGACATGAATGATGACATGTGAGACATATGAGGACATGAATGGTGACATGTGAGGACATGAATGGTGACATGTGAGGATATGAATGATGACATGTGAGGACATGAATGGTGACATGTGAGGACATTAATAGTGACATGTGAGGACATGAATGGTAACATGTGAGGACATGAAAGATGTAACCTCATAAAGTCTAGAATACATTCATTACTTCCCTGTGATATTTGATATCTGAGGGAATCTAGCATCCTTTAGACACTTTGCTTTCCTTTCGTGGAATTTAATCATCTTGCTTTTTGAGAAAATTATGATATTTGTAGAAATTGAGCATTCTGTGGGAATCTTTTTTCCTTGGACTTCATTCTGTCAGATTCTATGGGAAGAATTTTTTCCTTGGACTTCATGCTTTCTGTAGGAAGGATTTTTTCCTCGGATTTCATGCTATCTGTGAGAATTGAGCATTCTGCTGGCATCTTTTTTCTAGTTCACATTGAGAAACAAGGTAAACCAATCCTTTAAGTACCTTGAATAGAAATTTGATGTGATGTAACTATGACAAGTTATTAAGGGAAGGATTCCGGCATATTCATTTATTTGCTGGTGAATCTTTATTAACATAGGTTCATGATAAAGTGAATGTACATGTACTAAAAGGTTAAAAAGTAACTGCTCTGACTCGAAGTTCCTAAAAAAATCTTTCTCAATTTGTTTAAGCATATTGAATTGCAATACTTGGTACATTAAATTTCAATACTTTGTACATTGATCTGAAATACTATATATATTGAACTGCAATATTTCATACATTAAATTACAGTACTTTGCACATTGATCTGAAATATAGTGTTCATTAATTTGCATTTTTTTTACTTTGAATTGCAATACTTTGTACATTGAACTGCTATACTTCATACATTAAATAACAATACTTTGTACATTGAACTGCAATACTTTGCACATTAAATTGCAATACTTTGTACATTGAACTGCAATACTTGGAACATTGAATTGCAATACTTTGTACCTTGAATTGCAATACTTTGTGTGTTGAATTGCAATACAAAAAGTACTGGCTTCAAATAATGGATTGAAAAATAAGTTCTTACTTATGGTGCTTGTATTAAACCACTTTTCTGCCATTTGTATTCCTTAAAGGCTGGAATGTTTGATTTGTATAAACAAACATGGAACACGAATGATTTTTGTGTGGGACTTTCACTTGTCACATTAAAAGTCTGTTAATTTATAAAAAAAAATTGGCATTTTTTAATATTTCATAATTTATAATAGTTCATCAGGGGCTTGTTTGTTGACATTTTTTCTTATTCCATTTATTAAATGACTTTACACCTCATTAATAGACCAAGTGAAATTTTATCATAATATTTTTAAAAAATCTGTTTGTTAATCATGTTTTTCATTATATGAATCATGTACGCAACAATGAAACATTTTTTTTGAAATAATTATTGTTAAGCATTTGATAACATATCATTGCTCAGTATGTAGTTTTTTTTATCATAATCATAATTATCATAATCTTCATCATCATCATCATATCATCATCATCATAATAATAATCATCATTATTATCTTGACCAATAGATGTTTGCTGTTAACCAACAGTCTTATTAAAGGGACTCCACTGAGGTTATTTTGATATAATAAGAAAGGAAATACTTTTTTTGAGATTTTTGCATCATTTGATGTTTACCCATAACTTTTGTGCAAAATATCATATTATTCCCTACATTTGTTTTTCCAGAATAGTAATATTCATCGTGCAAAATTAATCAAAACAACAATAACACTTTTAACTCAAATCAGACTAAGAATGGCATAAAAAGTCAATTTTAAATTACATTTCTTATTATCTTTTGTCTATGTTTCTGGTTTAAGTGCGCCAGTTAATCTATGTAAGAATTTCAAACTTCATATTTTAGATTTTTGAACCTCAATGGAGTTCCTTTAGTAAAAATGCTTAATTTGTATAAAGAATTTTTAAGGGTTGTTTTCATTGTACATCTTAATTTTATTAAATTATTTGCAAAATATTTTCTCTGAAGATGTAGAAATTGTTTATGATATTGCGGTTATTTCTGATTTTATTTCATTATTGTTTGCACAAGGCAGTATTGGAAAATCTTACGTTAATGTTGCCGTGGTTTTGTTTTACTACGTTACAAGGAATTTGTTATTTGGTGAATATGCCTAATTAAAATAAAATTAAGGAAAGTGTGGCACTCCGCAAGATTTCTGTAAAAACTGTGAAATAGTTGACGTCAATGCTAGGATAGGTTTTAACTTTTATAAATTTATTTATTAGATTTGGCTGAGTTTTAGGACACACCAGGGTTTCATGTTGCACTTATTGTAAATGTTATATGGCAACTTTCCAGCTTTACTTGTGGAGAAAGACCTCAGGTGCCCGGCCCTCCATGCATTATTTCAGGCACAAATGGGCACCTGAGTAGAACCACCAACATTTTTCCACAAGCTAGCTGGATATCCTCTCCACATGAAAGAAACCAGAATCTGTGGCATGATGCCAACCAACAATGTAAGGGACAAGTGGTTTGAAGTCAACCATCTTAACCAGAACCATGCCAAGGTACTGACAGCAAAATTGATATGTACGGGGGTATTTGAGAAAAATATAATTTACACTGACAACACAAAACACCTTATTAATGAATAAACCAAGCAATATACTGTCAAGAAAATAGAAGGCTATTTGGAGAAAACAGTATATACGTGGTGTACTTCCTTTATTCTTACTATAATTCCCCTCGAATTTGAATTCTGAATTTTTACAAATTTTATTTATAGTTTTTCTATTTCAGTTATACTTTTGAAATCTTTTCACCTAAATACCTGTTGCCAAAAAATCTCAAATATAGTCATTTTGATAAAAGAGTTTATAATAATATTTTCTCTTGCACCGATGACTTGTGGCAAATATTGTAATTTTAACACTTACATTGCCTCCTGTATTTAAGTGGTGAAAATTGTTATTTAACACTTACATTGCCTCCTGTATTTAAGTGGCAAACATTGTTATTTAACACTTACATTGCCTCCTGTATTTAAGTGGCGAACATTGTTATTTTAACGCTTACATTGCCTCCTGTATTTAATGGCGAACATTGTAATTTTAACACTTACATTGCCTCCTGTATTTAAGTGGCGAACATTGTAATTTTAACACTTACATTGCCTCCTGTATTTAAGTGGCGAACATTGTAATTTTAACACTTACATTGCCTGTATTTAAGATGATCTACTAGTGCTAACATGAGTACTTTCCCCTTAAAATTTATCACATTTTCAATGATTTCTTGCCATTGTATTTCCAGTGTACATGTATTTCCATTCTATTGACATATATTCTAGTTATACATAAGTGTATTAACATATGTCTGAACTTATGCCATATTATTTAGTTGTTTTCAATTCTATAATTGACTTCTAACAATAGACACAGAGAACAGCACTTATGTTTCACCAGAATGATAATGAATGAATGATAGTTTTATACAGTCAGTGTAATTCTATATTGTTTCAAGGTAGTTATGAGTATTGCCATTCAAAGTGAGTGTTGTCATTGCATTGCCAGCATAATGTCACAAAGCTATTTTGTAAAAATGAATTCATACTTGACCACAAGAGCTCCAGTTTGACTGACCTTTAAATGATCTTGAGCTCTAAGGTAAAATTTTTGAAATTCAGGATTTTTTTTAACTGACTTTTCTCTAAGATGATAAAATAGGTATTTAAGCATTTATGTGTTTTAAATACTAACACTTTTTGTTTAACCAATTAATTATATATTTAAAAAAAACTTATTATACAAGGTTACTTGCTAAATTGTTGTATGCTATTTTAAAGTGACATTATGCTCATATTTTCATTGTCAAGTTGAGCTGAATTGACTTTATATTTCAAAATATTGACTGTTTAAATGATGTCTGACCAACAGATTATATTGGAAAATGTTAAAGATAAAATTTAAAATCTGCCTAAAATATAAAAAGACTGCCCCACTCTTTTTATAAATTGAACGTTACAGGTAAATTCTAAATGTATTTACTGAAATTTCGTTTGAATCTGGTGGTTTTTTTATTGTAAATGCGAAGTAAATCATTAAATCAAAAGGGATTATGGCATAATGAAATTTTTTTGAATCTCATCTGTTCACTCACTATATACCTTTAGATGGGCATAATGTCACTTTAAAGTGGCTTAAATCTTATTTAGCATAATATTATGTTTGTTGTAAAATTTGCAATATCAGCATATCACAGGTGATGAGGCCTTTTCT